ATTCTCTAGCTTTTTCTCCGCCTCGTGCTTCTTTTCCGGACATACGGCTTTACAATCAACAGGAAGCAGTTCCGTGCAAATATATTGCAATACAATATATCTGAAGAAAAATTTTATAAACGTTTTTTTTTTTAATAAAGCATTTTAGTAATCAAATTTAATTAATTTTAATGCCAATTAAGGGGGGAAAAAAATTATTTAATGACTTTTAATGACCCATTGTTAATGCTGTCAGTTGTTTTTACAGATATGTGAAGACAACAGCCAATGCCACAGTGGACCATCTGTCAAAGTACCTGGCTCTGCGCATCGCACTTGAAGAAAGACAGACTGATGGGCAAATTGAGAACAGAGGAAAAGAGGAGAGAGGAGATAAAACAGAAGAAGGTGGAAGCGGGGGAGCGTCAAGAAGTGGAGAAGGGTCGAGTCTGAGTAACATCAGTGAAAAACAATACACCATCTACATAACCACAAAGGGAGGACAATTTTCTGTGAGTCAAACCCTTTTAAGGTTTAATCTTAATCATTTAAGGATAGGTTGTTGATGTGTAAAGAAATCTTTCCGGGAGGGTCACCCGTTTTTAACCTTTATTCCCTCCAGACTCTCAACGGTTCTCTGACTCTGGAGTTGGTTAATGAAAAGTACTGGAAGGTCCGGAAGCCGCTGGAGCTTTATTACGCTCCTACCAAGGAGCAGCAGCAGCCACAAGCAACACAGCAGCAGAAATCTCCTCCACCACAGGACGGATGAGTTCAGAGCCACATTCCTGATCAAATGCTCAAAGAACATCACTTTCTTTATAATATAGCATCTATTTTGAATGATTTGCCTAGTTCAGTTTGTAATCAGCTCAAACCGCTGACATTTGTGACAAAAACTGAAGCAGAGAGGACTTTTTAAAACTCATTTTAATAAGTCAGATATTTCTCCTTCATGACAATGTTGTCATTCCCCAGTTTTGTTAATCATCCCCATGTATATTCTTCCAATTATTAGATGTACCATTCCCTATTTAGGTTTTCATTTATAGTCTTTAATTCATTTTGTTTGTTTTTTTTACCACCTGGGAAAGCAAAGATTAAAGCTTTAACTCTGATGTGGGTGTATTTGTAAAAACCTTATATTGCTTGGCAGTCTATCCTGATACAGACAGATGCCCGTTTGTTCTCAATGACTGACTCATAGCTGTGACTTTCAATGCTATGGGGGAAGATTATGTATATTAACTGGATGGGGGTTATTTTTTTACTTTTCTGGTATTGTACATTTCTTTAATTTTGGAATCCCACTTTTGATTTGCTTTCAGCATTTTCTGTGACAACTGGAAAAGGCAGGATAATTTCTTACATGTCATTTGAATCCTTTTCCCATGCATCTGTACATTAACAGCTTTAGTTATGTTTCTCCCCTCACCTGAAAGACAAAAAGCCATATAGGCCTTTCAAGGCTCCTAACTTGAGTTGAACTTTTTCAACCATGCTTCTTGTTTTTTGCACTTTATTTGTTGCAACCGCAGTTTACTTTTAGGATATAAGAATGGATGAATTATTCTTGTCGTTACAGATTCTGAACAATTAAATATTTAAACTGAGTTCAGGATATTTGAATTGAGAAAAAAAATAAAGCAAAACCAGGAGCTTTTTTTGTCAAGTGTGGCGCTTTATTGAAACAATGGGAAGCAGGGGAATTTACTTCTTCTTGGACACACCAACAGTGCGACCACGGCGGCCGGTTGTCTTTGTGTGCTGACCGCGCACACGGAGACTGTAGGGGGAAAAAAGCAGCAAAAGTTAAATCACACTCATTTTGAAGGAAGATTGTTTTTACTAGTAAATATTCTTTAGAAATTGTAGAATTTCACAATTGGTACTTCAATTTACGAGAAGCTCTAGCAAAAATTTTCTAAAATGGCCACTTTTCAGACTACGAGTCACTAGTTTCCCACACTTTAAACCATTTAGATTTTTTTATAACTGCCAGTGGTTGGAAATCAATCATGGGGCAAATTTTCATTGAGCAAAAGCTAGCAGCAGGCACTTTTGCATTTGAAACATTAAAGCAGTTGAACTAAGAGAGATTGTGTGCAACTCCTGCAGAGATTAAATAAAACCGATGAAGCCCCATCCTTCATCAGAAGCACTAGTCGTAAGCTAGCATTCTTCCTACCTACTCTGTAGGTGATATGCAGCATGTTTCCATTGTAGATGGCAGTTTTGTATCTATCAATATATCTATATATATTTTTGCGGTAAAGAAAAACCAAAACCTTGTAAGGTGCCCTCTACAGTCTGGAAAATACAGTATGGCATATGCAAGTACCCCCATCTCATACTGAAGTCATCTTTTCCTCTGCAGCACAGGGATACATTTGCATTTACTTCATTTTTAAAGCAAAAAGGGAACTCAAGTTTCTCCAGGATAGGCTCTCATCACCATTCATCTGTTCACCTTTAAATACCCCCAGTTTGTAGTTTTAAACTTCATAAGATCTGTCTTCAATAGGAAGGCCCAACACTTTCTGCTGCAACATTGCTCTTACTGTTCTCACAGCATTATGAAACAAATTCCCTAAAGTACCCAGACTGGTGTGAGGACAAAATAGCTTCTAGTAAACAAGGTTCTGCATTGACAGAGCTAACATTTGTCCTTCAAAACTTAAACACTCAAATCTTACCCCCAGAAGTGTCTGAGACCACGATGAGCCCTGATCTTCTTCAGTCTCTCCAAATCTTCTCTCAGCTTGTTGTCCAGACCGTTGGCGAGGACCTACAGAGCAACACATTGGTGATGAGTAACTAAACTCATTAAAAAATGCATCTAAAAACTCCACAATATTCAATGTTGTTTTTCATTTGGATTGAGCCCCAACTTCGTACTGTTGATCACTTACTTGGCTGTATTTGCCATCTTTAACATCCTTCTGCCTGTTAAGGAACCAGTCTGGGATTTTGTACTGCCGAGGATTCTGCATGATAGTTACTACTCGCTCAACCTGGAGAAGAAAATATGGACGTATTTCAGTGTGATCAAGTACTTGGGACAGAAAGTCTTTACGTGAATATGATCTATTTTTATTTTTTTTAAACATCAGAAGCTTTTAAACTCTTGTGTATATATCTAAAATCTTTAATTGACACGCTTAGGGTCTTAAATGTTCTTTAAACCAACTCCTTATAAGGACACAGCCAACAACTATCAGAAATAAGTAATCAAGCAGCATGTTTACTTTGCTCTTAAACTTTACAAATGTTTCTGATTTTAGTCTAGTTTATTTTTCTTCCATTTTACTATCCAATTAATATGAAGCACTTTGAATTTTGCTACACGAATAAAATTGCCTTTGTACAGATTATGCTGGTTAAGTAGTTTGATGAATTGAAGCAAAACTTTGTCAATAATGTCTATATTAGTACACCATTTCCTTGGTTGTGGGTCTGATATACAGGTTAATAAATTGCCCATTAAAATAAAGTGACAATAGACAGGAGAACCAAAAGGGATGATCAAAAATTAAATAATCTGGCAAGAAAAATCTCTTGATTATAAAAAGTTAAGCACGATAAAACTTGCTTCAAAAAGGAAAAACAAAAACCCACAGCAGCCCATATTTTGCAAAAGATGTTTTAAATCGGGAGTGGACCAGTGACAAGAAACAAAATCTACTCTTTTACAGTCGATTTGCAAAGGAATTGTGCATTGGTTAGAGTATATAACAATCCTTCTTGTGAAATAGAATGTTATTAATATATCCAACCATTCAAAACACATCAGCGTTGACTATTATTGCAATATGTCGACCAGACCAGGAGCAAATAATTGTTTTCATACCTCTTCCTCAGTGAGCTCGCCAGCCCTCTTGCTGAGGTCAATGTCAGCTTTCCTTAGGACAACGTGAGCGTAGCGTCTGCCTACACCCTAAATGAGACAGAGTAATACATTGTTCCCTTAAATATGCAACAGCACACACTTCATTATGTTTTCAAAGGGCTAAATCTTCGTCAGATATACCTTGATGGCAGTGATGGCAAAGGCGATCTTCCTCCTGCCATCGATATTCGTGTTTAGAACACGAAGAATGTGCTGGAACTTCTCAGGGATGACCAGAGACTGAAACCATAAACAGCAAATCTTAAAGACAATCAAAGATCACATGCAAACAACAGAACCACATAAGAACAAGGCGCTATTAACTTTTCGGTATAAACAGGGAAATTCTGCTGATCAAAAGCCTTTCTGGATATGTAGGTTAACTAAGGTCCAATCACACAAGCAAATACATTTCTACAATTTAAACTGTACATTAAATACCGCTGTTATTTGTTTTGCCGTAGATAACGCTAACTTCGTAGCTAGCTAACCGGTGGAATACTTCCAACAGTTGTTCTGGGGCATTGAATTTAGGATTGGACCTCATACTAACAAAATAAGATGTACAAGCATTTATTTTATTGGCGCATCGGTTAAGTATTTTCAGTACAGTACACAGACGAAGACTAGACACATTTGTGCGTTGGCGCTATTTAGCTTTAGGGACTCTCCGCTGCTAACCAGCGTTGATAATTTAGGGTGATCTATTTCAAATACAGCCTCGAATATTTAAACGATACTACGTTACAGCGAAACCGCAAGATATGTATAATAAAGGAGGATATGTGTATAAGCCAAAGAAAGCGAATAAAGTCACGATGATTACGGATTTTAAAATCGTATTGGGCTGTAGGGAAAACTAACTCACCATCTTGGAAGCAGGTTCCGTGCAAAGAGGAAGACAAAAACCTCTCGCGAGACTTTGGGCCTTTTTTGAAAGGAAGTTGGTCCCTCACATTTAGTGAACCCGATAGGGGTTGCGATTTCTACACAATGTAGGGATAATTTACATAAAAACTAAAGCTTTTAAATTTATTTAATTTTGACTGTATGGTATAATATGACTAGCCCGTGGCATATATCTAGCTAATTTGATAGGAAAATAAATTGCCTTTGTGTGAATGGCATTGCGGAACCTTAGATTTGTTTTATTTGTTTCCCTTTATGTCTTCTACGTTAGCATAAATAAGCCGCAATGGCGGAAGGGGTAGCTGGTTCTACTGAAGCTGGTTCCAACGTAAACACATCAGGGAACCCAACAGAAATCGCCATGGCATATCTACAAGATGAGGTGACAGTTCACTACTTTGGCTGTTTAGCATTTTGTGAGGAAAAACACTTAAATGTTTTGAAGAGTTACGGGAATCAACCTCATCCGGTTATACATTTAAAACAACTGGCTTAAAGCTATCATGTCCAATTGTCGACTCATTTTATTTTATTTCTTTATTTTGTATAAAGTGACAAATTTGATATAGATTATCTTCTGTGAACATCGAAAAATAGTAATAAACAAATAATGAATGGTTTGATGACAGCCATTGGTTAACCATTGTTACCTCTGTGTGTGTTTTCCATCTTTTTAAAGTAGCTGCTTGTGCAACTTGTGTTATAAAGAATTATATGTAACAGTATTCTAATATCTCTAGTTTACACTAGAAAAGAGTAACTTAGTAGACTTTGAAGTAGAAATTATTATTAAAATGAGAAATATATTCTTACTTAAACCTTGGTGCCTCACTGGATGACAGGGAGGTATATTCAAGCAGATCCCATGCAACCCACCGAGAGTAGACAGTGAATGTGTTTCACATAAAATAATAATTTTACTAGGATGATGATTATATATTTGTGTCTGCTTGCTTTACCTTTTAATAGCCTACAAAACAGCAGGGTTGTACCACAAAATAAGATAAACCTCTAGGGAAGTTTTCTGAAATGGTTTTGTCTCCATTTCCCTCTAGAAGACAGATGGAGACATTACTAACCTCAACTTGGGGGAATTGGACCTGACCACTGATGAGTTCATCTTGGATGAAGTGGACAGTAAGACACCCGTTATTTTTTATATAGTTCAAATGTTGGTTACCAAGGTCATATGCTGAAATTGGTTTTATTCATGAAGACATTTCAGCAGCACATAATCTGTATTTTAAATGATTTACCAGTTCTAAACTGGTAAAAATAGTTTTTTTTTTTGTTTTGTTTTTTTTGTAGTTTTCTGAAATGGCATCTGAAGTAGTAAACAAATCTGAATATCTAGTGTTTGCTAATTGGTCTGTTTATGACCAATGTCACTTTACATGGGCAGTCTCTATGGCAGAGATGGGGGATCTGGAGTCAACAAGTCATCTCTTTCTCATGTATTTGTTCTACCCAGTTACTGAACCAGATGAGTCCAATCTGTGCAGATTGGACTCATCTGGTCAGAACAAATACATAACATAGAGATGACTTGATGACTCCAGATCCCCCATCTCTGCTTTATGGAGAACAGTGGGGGCAGTAATGCCACAACCCATTCAAGGTGTCAGAAAACCCAGAGAGCAGATGAGACAAAGGAAGGAGATCCAAAGAAAAGGTGAAGGTCAACTTTATTTCTATGGCAGATTTACAACACTGCCGCCCAAAGTGATTCATAAAACACATAAAAGCAAGGAATAAAATACAAACAAGGCATAATAACCTATAGTGTAAAGAACCAAAAAAAAAAAACATATAAGACACAATTTAATACAAAAAAAGCCTGTGCACACAGGTGGGCTTTAAGGGAGGATTTAAAACAGCTAAGAGTTGGGGCCAAGCAGATGCTGCGGGGCAGACCGTTCCACAGCCAGGGGGCAGCAATGGCAAAAGCTTTGCATCCTCTGGTTTTCATGCTGGTTTTGCATCCAGGAGGAGCAGGTCAGTTGAACAAAGTGCTCTGGATGGGGCACAGGCAGACAGGAGCTCAGTCAGATATAAAGGTGCCATGCCACTTCAGCATTTAAAAACAATCAAAAGGGAAAAAAAGGTAGTTTGATAACAATTTGAAAACAGCAGGTCGGGAATGGTTGGTATACGACCCAAGTGAGAAAATTATACACTTTACTGTATTTATTAGGGTTTTTTTTATTCTAGTTGTCATGCAAATATTTTATCTGCTCTGTTATAACGCACTTCTGTAAATTAATATTCAAACAGGGTTTCTTATTAGTGTTTTTTTTTCACATTTGTTTTTCTCTTTAAAGTTAATTGTCTACTCCCCTTCACCACTCTTAGTGTGCTATGTCAAGCCAGACTTTTTATTACTTTTTTTACTGCATATTTAAAAAAAGGAGGTTTACAGAGAACCTTATCAGAGCTCAATCCTTAACAATGACCTGGCCTTAAAATGAGTGTGTACAAAGGTCATTTACACTTAAAGAAACTTGTAAATATTGTTCACGTAAACTATAGCATGTCATAGTTTGCTTCATAAAATTATATAAAACAGTTTCTTAACAACATAATTGTGGCTAGGGAAAATGCTTACTTTGGAAAACTCCTAGTTAAAGTGGCCAGTGAGGAAAAAGGTTAACATTTATATGTATAAGTAAATTATTACTTAAAGCACAGTAAAGTCCTTTCTTATGAGCTTTTTTTTAAATAGTTGTGATCAGGTTTTCTTTTTTTCATATAAAAAAACTGCATTTTTATTAGTTCGAATCATGATACATTATACTGCTCAGGTGTTTAAAGATCGACCCTTGTTTTATTCACCTGTCAAATGTTTCTCTGTCAAAGGTGTCTTCAAGTAAGGGAGAAGTTCTTGCCTGGGAGAGACACTGATCTAACATTTCTGCAGGTTTTTTTTATTACTAATTATTCTTCCTTTTCCCTGCAGTTCATATTCAGGCCAACTTGGAAGATGATCTTGTGAAAGAAGCACTTAAAACGGTAAATGCATGATAATGCAACCATACGATGATATTTGAATATAGCAAAACAACCTAATTTTTCAGACTTCGATAAGTCCTCTTTATTCTTTCACTTTAGAGATTGGAAACATGCAACTTATAAAACCTGTTTCATTTAGCTGAAATATATTACTAACTTCTTTACTTGTTTGTAAATCCTATATTTTAACGACAGTTATTTTAAGGATGCTAATTTTAATCATCACACTATGAGAAGAAAATGTTCTTGCATGAAGCCAATGATAAACATGTTTTTTCATTCAGGCTGGTGTTTTATTGATTCCTTTCTTCTCTTCATGTCTGTGTTTCAGGGTGTGGACCTCCGTCAGTATTCCAAGCAGGTGGAGACAGAGCTGCAGAGGATCGAACAGGCCTCCATTAAAGACTGTATCCTTTACAGCGAATAACTTGCATGTCTTTATTTCAGGGTGCAAATATCCTAATAGTGCAGCCATATTTCAATCAAGTCATATGCCGACATTTCTCTGTAGAGTTTCTGTTTATTTACAGTCAAATTAACGATTTGTTAGAAAATAGGATTAAATATAATCTAATAGTGATTCTATGTGAAGCTCAGCTGACTTTAATCTTCTCTATTTTCTATATGCTAAAATCTGTTTCTTTCAATAAATTCTATCACAAAATACTGAAGTTTATGTTAAATTTACTATTAATAAACTAAACTGTCATTTTGTTTTTTTGACTAATCTCTTTTTAAGCATAAAAATCCTTTAACAGAAAATGTCTTCCTGAGCACTTTAATGTTAGACATTAAAGAAAGTCAGAACATTGCCCATCTCCACAACCAGATCACAGCCTGTGACTCCATATTGGAGGTAAGAGCAGAGGTCCTCACTGTTCTCTTTATTGTTAGTGAATCAATATAGAAATATATTACCAAAAATCTGATAGAAAAGGTGGTGTTTATTAAGTGGTTCTGTTTGTGTAAGACCCAAAAGGCTTAGCTAAAATATATTTTCAGTTCTTGAGTTACATTGCAGAATATAGAGCTTTATTAGCCTGTTTCCTCTTTTTATTCCCCCAGCGTATGGAGGGTATGCTGAGTGGTTTTCAGAGCGACCTCTCCTCCATCAGCAGTGAGATCCAGACCCTGCAGCAGCAGTCGGTCAGTATGAACGTGCGACTGAAGAACAGGCAGGCTGTTCGCAGCCACCTCAGCCAGCTGGTGGATGAGCTGATGGTGCCTGGAGTCATGATCTCGTAAGTTCAACAACATTAACAGGAAAGACTGAAAGCATTATGACCGAGAGGAGGGATCTAACATTCTTCCCTGGTTGTTTTGGTGTAATTCTGACATCAACATATTGAATGGATGTCTAAACATGTTACTAAATGAAGGAAGATCCTGGTTTATAAAACCTTAATTAACTATAATACTTTTTTTTTTTAAATTAGAATTAAAATATAGGAAACTGAATCACTATGAAACATCCAACAACAACCTCAGTTTAGCTCAAAAGCCGTTCAGTCAGATGAAGCTATTTGAGCGAAGGAATAATCCAGTTGAATTGAGGTTCATGATGTTGTTCTGTCGCTGCAGCACCATCATGGAAAGTCCAGTGACGGAGCAGGACTTCCTTGAGCAGCTCCATGAGCTCAACACAAAGATCAACTTTGCCAAAGAGCTGAGCTTTAGAGAGACGTTGGCCTGCTCCGACATCCAGGACATCGTTGATCGCCTCAAGCTCAAGGTAAGTTTGAATCAGAAGAGCCTTGTTGCATTATGGTAAGAACTACAAGGTGTTCAGAAACCTAACCTCCACCATTACACATCAATGGATTCAGCTTTTCTGTGTTAAAATTCTTTGCTTGTTAGTCCTTTCTTTAGATGTTGTATTGCTGGATAATTAAACACTTCCAGTATAATTATTCTATGTAACTTTAACTAATGTGTGAAATGATAGCTTGTATTCATACCAATAAATCCACCACAGTTGGATCTGTTTCCTTCACACGCATTGAATGTGCTGATTTCTCTTCCCCTCAGGCCGTCTCAAAGATCAGAGAGTTTATTCTGCAGAAAATCTACTCCTTCAGGAAACCGATGACAAACTATCAGATCCCACAGAACACTCTGCTGAAATACAGGTGTGTGCTTTTCTAAATTATGGTTACTTTTAAAAAGGGGTCATTCCAGTTTTATGTAAGAATTAAACCCTGAAAGCAGCTAAAGTTTAACCAAAGATCATTTTTTTGTTAGATATTTTACATTGTATTGCTCTTGTATTCTCAAAATTCTAAGTGGAAATGACTAATTGTCCTTCTGTTCGTCCTCCTGAAGATTTTTCTACCAGTTTCTTTTGGCTAATGAAAGAACTGTTGCTAAAGAAATCAGGGATGAGTACGTGGACACTATGAGCAAGATTTACTACAGTTACTTCAAGTCCTACAGCGGGCGGCTTCTCAAAGTGCAGGTCGGTGGATCCATCATGAGGCTCTCTCTGTTTTATTGCAGCTTTGTTAAACCACAGGTCCCAGACTGTCAGGATGTGGGAACAGCAGTTGGAGTTTATGCTGAGGATTTCATGTTTATGTCTGTCTTTTCTCCTTTTCTGCCATTTCAGTATGAGGAGGTAGCGGATAAAGACGACCTGATGGGAGTGGAAGATACAGCAAAGAAAGATATCCTTTCAAATCTGCTCTTTATCACTGATTCTGATCACACTGCATAGTAAAGCTCTGTGTTAAAAAACAAATTTTAATAAAATGTATTTATTAAAGTAACATATATGTTTTTAGATTTAATACTTTTAAGGTATTTCATTAAATGTTTCTTAGATTTTTAGCTGACTGTTTTCTTTTCTATGGCTAAAATAAACAGCCTTTTTGAAAAAGGAAAAAAGAAAAAGCAGAGGAACAGTCCTGTTGCCTCTATATAATGAGCTCCCATAAATGTAAATATGTGTAAATACTGAAAGACAAACTAGAACTGAACACCTGATCGTACAATTTAAGTAAAAATTAGAATAGTGTTATTTAATCAAACTGATATTTGCTGCCTTTTCATTCATTTAGTCACAATGACATCAGTAAATCACCTGGCTGCCCTGCAGTTTTTACAAGTTTTGAGAGACTTGATGAAATAAGCCTAAAGAGAAGCAGCAGAGACTGAGAGTGTGAGATGTCATGAATGTTCAAAAGGTTAAAAAAAAACAATTAAAGGAACATTTTCTCATTAATAAAATGAAAGATTTCCCAAGTATGTTTTTTGTTTATGTTGTTTGTTTTCCATGTCTAATCAGGTGGCAGTGTGATTATATTTAGCTAAAAGTAAAAAAAAAAGTAAGGTTCTTTTGATTTAAAAAAAATGTAATGTTGTAAGAACACGCATGTCATGAAGTTATGTAAATGTAAATCCCTTTATTCTCCCACAGTGGGGAAATTTCCTCTCTGCATTTGACCCATCCCCTTGGGGAGCAGTGGGCTGCCATTGTGTGGCCCCTGGGGAAAGTTATTACAAATAAATGTCAGACATAGGACATTGTTTTACACTCCTTGACCTTAAGCTGCAGGTTTCTTTTCCAAGCCCTCCTTAAAGAACAGGAACACCATCTTCACTTTGGGCCAGAGGGGGACCATATTGAGTCCTGCCGAGCTGGAAGGACCGATCCTGGTTCCACATACGGCTCAGAGAGGAGAAAGCAGGGTGAGATAAACATTTATGATATAAACTTTATTATTATTCAAATGGACAAAAAATGTTTTATCTGCATACAATGTAGGGTTGGGCAATTTTTGAATTTGAGTGATTCTGGTTCCTTTCAATTCTGATGTTAAGAGGAAGGATCATAAAAGTTTACATGTTATGAATTGCTGGCTAACCAGAGATCTATCTATATAAAATGTACAAATTTACTCATCTAACGTTGTGTGAGAATTATTATATTTTTGGGGACGTCCCGATCTGATTTTAATATTGGATATTGGTCCAATATTAGCCAAAATATTATCGATTTTATTGACCAGCATCTAAAATATCAGATACTCTCATGCTGATAGACCCTTTTCATACCTTTTGTTGTTGACCTTTGTTCCCTGTTATAGTAAATTACTTAATCAAGCATTTTCTTACATTCTACGGTATAAAACAAGTAATAAAAGCATTGGACTAGTTATTTTCAAAATGATAGCAGAAAAATGACATGAATTGAACAAAACCATCTTTATTTTACAGTATCCTTATGAGACGTTGTTCCGCAGCCAGCACTATGCCCTGTTGGACAACGGCTGCAGAGAATTCCTCTTCCTGTGTGATTTCTTCATGGTAGCTGGAAACTCTGCACTTGATCTCTTCAACTGCATCATGGGAAAAACTCTCAGCATGTTCCTGGTATGAGCATCTTTCTTTTTTCCACTATTGTTGGTTGTAAGATTTCATCCTGCTGTTGAGAAGAGAAACCTTTAAAATTTATTTCAAGGAAAAAGTAAACAGAATTCTAAACAGCTCAAACATAAATTATCCTGTTCTCTGTGTCTGTCTGCAGAAAAGCATGTCCACCTACGTGTCCGACTGCTACGACAGCATCGCTATCTTTCTCTGCATCCACATCATCCTCAGATTCAGAGCCATCACAGCAAAGAGGGACATTCCTGCTCTTGACAAGTTAGTTTCATATCGTCACCTTCTTAAAATAATCGCCTAAGTCATTTTTTGGCCAAATTGACTTTTTTGCATAACTCATGTCCTCCCCCTGCTGGCCACCTATGGTGAAATGACCAGAACCCTCAGTAGAATTAATCATGTGGTAAAACCCATTTATGATTTTTGCCTATGTCAAGAGATGTGACTTAGGCTGATTTATTTTGAAAACCTGGAAAAATGACTTATGCGATTATTTTAAGAAGGTGACGATATTGAAATGGAAAAAGTATAATATTAATTCACTTGCTCTCTTTTTTTCATGCAATTTAAAGTAACTAATGAACAACTAGTGCAACACATTTATGATTTTGTTATTCTTAGTATATCTGCATTGCATGTCCAGGAAAGGAAATCATGGATTCATTTTTGTCTAGAAACTTTAGATAAAAATTCTGTGAAGAGAATATCTCCTCAGTCATTCAACACAGGTAGCTGTAAACATTAATATGGTAAACTCTATTACCGGTACTAGTCAAATTAACAGAAAATATGAGCTGGAGATTAATTTAACCTGATATTAATGATTTCAAAAAGAATGCAAAGAGTTAATGTTTTCTGATTATTTTAAGAGTTTTAGTCTTGGCTGTATAATATAAACTCATCTATAACATTAAAGCTCAGTTTAGCTATATAGAGGAACTGTATTACTGAGAGAGCCCTAATGTCACCTGAAAAAGGCTGAAGTTCTGAATGTGTTTCAGGTACTGGGAGGCTGTGCTGGAGCTACTATGGCCCAGGTTTGAACTCCTTTTGGAGATGAACATCCAGAGCATCAGAAACACTGACCCTCAGAAACTGGGAGTGCTGGACACCAGACCGCACTACGTATGTGGGGTGACAGACATCCTAATTATGTTTTTCAATGAGATATACAGTCTATATACAATCAGAAAGTCTATTTTCACTCCAACATACAGACTGAAATATTTTAAGTGTTTGATATTTTTTATTTAGTTTTTAGGGCTCCCAGGTAATGGAGAGCCAAAACTGCATTTCTATCTAAATATTGATTTACCGTACATAAGACCAATAGGAAACAAACTTGACTCTTAGTCCATAATATGGCCTAAATAATCTTGGGAAACACTAGTTGGTAAACAGTATTCTAGAAAAGAGTCACTGACTGCTGTTAGAGCAGTGGTCTCAAACGCCTTTGAAGGCCTTAACCCTGCAACTTTTAGATCTATTCCTGCTTCAACACACCTGATTTCAGTAATAGCTCATTATCAGAGCAGAGCTCCTTAGAGCTTTGCTGCATAACAGCGTGGCAGATGCATCTGAGACTACGTTCACATTTCAGCCTGAAGTGACCCAAATCCGATTTTTTTTTTTGGTCCATATGCGACCCGCATCTGATCTTTTCATGACTGTCTGAACAACACAGATCCATTTTTTTCCAATGCAACCCAGGCTGCTTGGCTACGTGGTCCTGAATCTGATACGTATCTGATCTTTTCAAATGCGACCTTTGTCTGAACAACCAAGATTAATGTTTATGTTTAACCATCTTGGAAAGATTGAGTTTTTAAGGTTGGAAATGATCGCTAGATGTTCTCAAGCACTACCATTCATGTTTATTTCTGTAAACACAGAGCACGCTTGCTTGTGACGTCATTGCGTTCTCTGCTGCGCATGTAGGACACTTAAAGTAGGTTGTATTATTGCAGTTCACGCAGGAGATCACATACAAGTCGTATATATTTGGAAATGTAAACAGCAATGCAAAAAAAAAAAAAACGGATTTCACAAAAAAAATCGGAATTGAGCATCAAGGCCTGCAGTGTGAACGTAGCCTAAAAGTTGCAGGACTTCGGGCCTGATGATTTACGTTTGACACCACTGCTCTACAGGGATAGTAGGCCACAAAAGGTTCTTGCTAAAGAAGCTGGTTGTTCAGGGTGGATAGTTTTCATGTACGTGGAAAGCTGATTCAAAGAGAGAAGTATGGTAGAATGCAATTTAATTGTTTCTGCAAATAATCTAACATCATAGTTACATAATGCAACATCTTGGAAATAACTCAGATATTATTTTCCTGAATAAATATTTTTAAGCTGTTGCAGTGAAAGTATGCATTTCTTCATGCAACTGGCCAGCAGGTCAAACCGATATTTCACCACAAAGAGTAAAGAGTTGTTAGTTAAAGTGACTCAGTGTTTGCCGGTTTCAGATCACTCGACGCTATGCAGAGTTCTCCTCGGCTATTGTGAGCATCAACCAAACATTTCCTAATGAGAGGACCAACGTTCTGCTGGCTCAGCTGCAGGTAACACACACACAGGTTTATTTAATATGTCTCTGAAGGGTGTTTCAGTGTGATGTTGGAATGACCTTAGGAGTCCAAATTCAGACTAATGATAGCAAGATGGTTCATTGTTTAAAATAATCAAGAAACATTTGTGACTTTAGTTATTTACAGTTGGTGTTAAACAGGTTTCCTATGTGGTGTAAAACTAAACAAAAAAATTTTGCCGACATTTATTCAGTCTATTAAAAATATTTGATTCTGTGTTTATTGTTTGTTTTTTTTTTGTCTACAGGTTGATGTTGAAAATTTCGTGCTGAAGATGGCCGCAGAGTTTCCCTCCAGGAGAGATCAGCTCATCTTCCTGATTAACAACTACGACATGTTGCTCAGCGTCCTGATGGTGAGTACCACTTGAAGTTTCATTTGTAGAGTAATCTATAGATTCACAGCGTAAAAAAGAAAACTTCTTTATACATTTTCCATCATTGGCGGCACAAAACGTTTTGTTTTGATTGCTGATTGGGTTGTTGTTTTCTAACTTGTCCAGGAGAGGGCAGCAGATGACAGTAAAGAGGTAGAAAGTTTTCAACAGTTGCTACTTGCTAGAACACAGGTGGGTTCTTATCATGATTATTCCTTATGTACATCTGAATTAAAATAATTATATTACTGATGGTTAATAATTAATTTTTTTTTGGTTGGTCTTTGTTTAATCCTTTATTTATTCTGTATTGGGTATTTGATTCTGTCTTTTTTATGCAGATTGCTGTTATCTACCTTATATAGCCCTTTTTCTATACAAAAAAGCTGTAGTATATGGAGGTTACAGATATATAAAAAGTTTGAAAATAAAAAACTTCAAGATAAATGTCACCATCAATGTTGCTTGTCGAATATCAAAACAAAAAAAGGAGGAAAACATGCCTGGCCATAGTAGAAAAATGGATACCCTTGGTAAATCATACATTAGCTGTGATTAATTGCATTTTCGATATGGTTTAAATAGATTCACCCAGACATGTCCAACCAATAAGTCACTTAAAACAACCTGAAGCATAAGTTACAAGATAAACTCTAAAATTAGGGGATTTCTGGAAGTTTAATGACAGAAATTGTCTACTAAAAGAGAAGACAATGAACAGTGGTGAACCTTCCCAGTTTCCATCCTATTAAAGGCAATTTAATAGGGCTGAGAATCCTGAAAGATAATACTGCTTGATCCTAAACTTAATCACACATTGGGTGTTAAAAAGAAGTTAGCTTCAAGGTTGTTTCTTTTACTAAATCCACTTTAAGCAAATGTACCTCTAAAGGTTCCTCTCTGTTTTTCCTCCATCTCCCAGGAGTTTATTGAGGAGATTCTTTCCCCTCCTTTTGGAGGAATGATTGCCTTTGTGAAGGAGGCTGAAGCACTGATGGAGAAAGGCCAGCTGGACCGACTAAAGAATGAAGAAGGTGAGGGAAAGGCTGTAACGCACCAACTTCACCTGAAGAGCTGACAGTGAATCCCCCAAAACAGCTTCTTCTCTTTCAGCAAAGGCAGCTGTTAACATAGAGATTTATTGCCCAATTAAAGGTTTCATGAAAATGAGGAAATGTTTATTTCTTCAGATGCTTTAACTGAAAATGCTGTTTCAAAATCGAAGGGATTTAGTCGTTGAGTTTTGTGACTTTAGCAAATCCACAGATAAATCTGTAGCTTGCTTAATTATTGCTTCTATTGTAGTTGTTGCTTGTTGTGTAAACGGTCACAACGAAACATTACACCTTTCTAGTTTCACACCTTAACTTGTTTGTTTCATTTCAGCCTCCAGTTTTGTTTTACTGAACAATGAGCCACTTCCCTCTTCAGCTTTCCGCTGTCCAAACAGTTTTATTTCTTAACTGTCCAAATCTCTAAAAACACTTGAGCGTCCCACATCCTTTTGTGTCTGATGTCAACCAAAGCATTTCCCCTCACAACCACAACCCTCATACCTGTTTTCTTTTGTTTCAGTCATATACGAAACCAGTCAGGAAATGGGCTAAAGTTGATCATAAAGCAAAGAAGCCAAAACATACGGTCTCTTTTCTGTATGATGGATAGAGAGAACAAACGGTTCTAAATGCATAATAAGAGTGTTTGTGTGCAGCTCGGATCACCCAGCTGGTCCGAGGGTTTTCCAGCACCTGGAAGCAGTCGGTGGAGGCGATGAGTCAAGATGTTATGAGGTCTTTCACGAACTTCAAAAATGGAACCAGCATCATACAGGTGAGCAGTTCAGCAAGTGTGTTATGCAAACCAGCATCAGTCTGCCTCATCTACTGCTGCCTAATCAGCATTTTTTTTTTTTACTTGATCTCCTTTCAAACATGGAATTTAATTATTCTTACCCCGAATTTACACTTGTGTCCACAGCCAGTCTTTGACCCTCAACAATCTTTTTAATCTTCTATAAGACTATAATTGCAAACATTGATGCTGATGTTCAGTTATTACGCTTTTCAAGAATAAAAAAAAAAGTTATGTGTCCCAAACATCGGTGTTGGTTTGGTATGAAATCTACTCCAAAAATTAAAAAAAAAGGCTTGTAATAGAGTGTCATTACCCACAATGCAATACATCCTGTTGTGAGACAGCCTGAAATGCCATTCTGAGAAGCAGCAGCTCGGGTTGGTTTGATGAAACTAAAATTTGAGTGTTTGACTTCAAAATTAGGCTCGGAGGTATCCCTATTTTAATCCAAAGAACACAGTGTGAACAAGAGTTACAGTGTCATGTTATGTAGATGTTTTGCTGCACAAGCAGAATAGTGAACCTCACTAAATTGGATCACGTAATAAAATATGAATAAGAAAGCTTGGAAGATAACAAAGTTATTGATTTGGTGTCTCCGTCTTTTCCAAGACTCATTACTGAAAACTGCTTTTTTTTAATGAGATTCTGCATTACTTTATTATTTACAAGCAAATTTTCATTACCTTGAGCTAGCTTCACTTAAGGTCAAAGAAAAAAAAGATCAAAGATGTTTCTGTAAGTGAAAACAAGAATTGCTCAGCCAGTTTGCAAACTTTAACCACCTCTCCTCGTTTGTCGTGCCCCTGCAGGGCGCTCTGACTCAGCTCATCCAGTACTACCACGGCTTCCACAAGATCCTCAACCAGCCGACGTTCCGCAGTCTGGCCGTGCGCTCTGAGCTCATCAACCTCCACCATCTCATGGTGGAGGTGAAGAAGCATAAACCTAACTTTTGACGAGGCGGCTTGTTCTGCGTGGGAACACCCAGACGAACAGGGCTTCAGTCTGGAAGATAATCCATCCTCTTTAAGGCTCGCTGAAATGTGAAAGCCCCCCTTTTTTGTTTCAAGTTGCATCACAGATCAGAAAGGAGGTACTTTCATCTCTTCCTCTGATCATCGTTTGAAACCCTTTTAGGCCTTAAAAAGTAAAATAAGTAATTCACACATGACCGTAATATTCCCCTTTGACAAGATAAGACACATTGCTTTCTTCATAGTAAAAAAGGAAACTGCTATGAACATAAAGCAGAAATAGTTCGATCATCCAACCAGCTGCTAAATCCCAGTTGAAATGATCAGTTTAAGGAATTAGATTCATTGTTACTTTCCCCCCCAGTATGTATTAAAACAATTAAATGTTGGGGTTAAAATCATGACACTGAAAGTATTTATCTGAGACATTAAGTGGACATCTGCTGAACTGAAATTGAAAATTCAGCAGTTTTGTCATGTGTGCAGGCAGGTGTTGTTTTCTCTCAGAAAGCCTGTAGTTAGGCTTTCCTGCGTCAGAGGAAACTGATTTCTGAATCATAACGCTGCACCGGATTCTGGAAAACTACTTGAACTGAGCTTAAGAATAGAGACTGACCCTAAAAAGGAAATGTATTTTCTTCATGTCAACAAATCCTATTTATATACTGATAATAAAAGCCAAGGAGCATCTCTCAGCACTGCTGACTGCCATCGACCTTTAGATTGTTACTTCCTGAAGCATTAATACCAAGAAAAACCAAGACAATTCATTTATTGAAGCTTTTGCAAACATGCTCTCATTTTCTCCAACCCTGCTCCCGTTAAATGCCTATTAAATACATATTTATGACCTATGAAATGTGCATAAAATAGAAATGACTCAAATCTCACATGTCAATCATTTTTTTTATTTGTAAAGATCTGATATTGCTACAGTGCCTCTGATTGTGCCTCAGATATATCTCATCAATTAAGATGGCCTCTCAAATAAAAAAAATTTAGTGAACTGTTGCTAATGAATCAGAGCACACTATCAGCTGATCAAATGAAATTCCTCTTTAAAATCAGAATTGCCTCTGTTAAAAAGTGAAATGTGTAAAAACAGCAAAGATTCATGTTTTTTTGGATGACAAAAAAGAGGCAATATTTTAGGGGAGGCTTTTGATTTACTTGTAAGGAAATTCCCTGAGTGAAGCTTCCTGAAGTCGTTCCTTTGTTGGGCTGTAAAAAGTAAAAAGTGTTTTTATTCCTGTGAAGTTGTTCATGTCGTCATTCCCATGTAAACTAATATCCTGAAGACTTAATGAATCATTTAAGACCAAAACTGTTTACTTTGCATTTTTTTATTGAATAAATAATCAAAAACCTTTTATACAGATTACCTTCCTGTTCAAATCACACAAGTCACACGTGCTTCTGGTTAAGTTTTTATATTTTATTGACACTTTAAAACTCAGTTTGGGGCTTTTTTCAGCAGTTCTTTTAACACAGACTTTTTTTTTAAATCAGGTTTCATGCTTTTAAAGATTATACTGAAAAAGTTTAGAATTTTATATTTATTTTTAGAGCTTTTTTATAGATACAGTCAATATCAATGAATATGGGATAGTAAATATTTATGTAACTTTTTGTATATTTATAACTTCAAACCAGTTTTCACAGTAAAACATCTGATTGCTAAATAGTTGTGTTTTGGAAGTGAGGTTTTGTTTGTTACCCTTGTTTTATTATATTATTAATATTTTTAATCAAAGCAGATGAGGTTTCCTGGAGACTGAAGCCAGCCTTGTTTCTGAGAGGTTTATAAAGAGTCTTCACACAAGCAATCTGTGTGTCAATCGTAGATTACTTTTTTAAATTCAAACCAACAGTCTCAAACCAAACAACAGTACTTATTATAATTTCTGATTTCCCTACTAAAATAACTTTTCAACTGATAACAAGCATAGAAATAAATTCTTCTAAATATTGTTTTGGGTCCTGAGGTAACCAGGACTTTGGGACACATGGAAGAGTTACTGTGTTTGATGTTTTAGTTCATGCTGCTGCAGTGATGCGTTAACGTTTATCAGATAGTTAATTTATTTGTGCTCTTTATCCATTTTCTCCATGTTGAAATCAGAACCAAAATAAGAAATTAAAATGGAACTGCTTTTATATGATTTGTTCTTTCTTAATTGAAAAAATAACTTACAAATTATAAAACACTATATTTTCCTAACTTTGAGTCCAAGTACATAGAAGATAGTTTTCCTCTCAAATTAACCAGTAGCTTTAGCCTCTGGGAGCAGCTTAACTCTCATTTTGCTAAATGAAGAATTAATAACTAATATCATGTATACCGGCTTTAAACCTCTTGACAAACTACACTTAAAATGAAGAACCTCTTTTCTCACAACGTACAAGGCTAGTTAGGTTTCTAAATCAAACTTAGATTATAACTTCAACAGAAGGGGAAAAAAAACAATTTAGGCTACATAAAGAGTTAAATATGTAGAAAAGCAGTGTGTAAATATTTGGTTCAGATACAGAGTGATAGAAATCATATATTAACAATGGCAAACATCTCAGTATTTTGTATTAAAGGTATTTTGAAAGCAGTTCACAAAAATAATTATCTCCCAAAGTCTTCATAAATAACTTGCTTTAGATTAGGTAGAAATTATAATGAAGGCGAACATTTGTACTGATAAGATTGAAAAAAAAAAAACTCCTAAGAGACACACTTCCAACAGATTCTTCCAGTGGTTAACTAATATAAAAGCTGCATGATAAAAAAAAAAAAAATCCATACTATGAACTGAAATATCGATGAATCAATCCACACCCCTCGTGAGGAGTGTCACAATACAGTAGATAAATAACTTATGAAATAACAATTTAAATGTGTCATTAATTTATTAAAACTGTAAATGACAGAATTTTTTTATGAATACGTAATTAATTATAAGGGCCTCGGGTAAGTTTATTCACTTAAGTTAAAAAAAGAGAATATAATCATTTTGTGATTTAATAAATTCATTTCGAGTTTCTTGAAGCACATCATGAATTAAAAAATAGAAATCCTGACATCTGATTGGCTGTTTCTCACTGCACAAGATAAAACAACTTCTTCCTGGTTTTATTTCGCTCTGTCAACATTTTCACAAAACAAAAAAATGATTCGCCATTTGTTTGCACCACATTGGGACAGCAATTCTAGCCTATATCGATTGTTCGGCTTATTAAAAGTTAATGAGGGTGCTACTAGACCACATAAGGCTCTTTCATAAGCAAGTTAGATATAATTTAAACCAAACTAAGGATTTGGAGGCTGGATTTGCTTATTTATTGTGTTTTAAAGAATTGCAACGCCTTTTTGAAGTTCCTACCGCCTAATCCAGTGATAATATTGAAAAAGTTTTATCTTGCAGTTAGAAGCAGCCAATCAGACGTCAGGGTTTCTATGCCAGCGGCCCTAGTCCCGCCTCCTTGACTTTGATGGATGTGTTACATTAAATTAATGAAATCATGGTGTGATTCAGTGCAGGAACATGAATCAATTTATGAAATCAAGAAATTATATTTCAAAATTAAATTCAACATAGGTCCATATAATTAATTATGCATTATGTATTTCCAGTTTTAATAAATTAATGACACATATAAACTATTTCATAAGGTATTTATTTATAGAATCGTGGTCTGCATCACCCTCCAAAGGTAAGAATCTGGTATGCATAAGTAAATAAACTTTTTTTTTAAACACAGAAACACCTTTTAATTGTTGGGCATCAGAACCGGAACAACCCGACTGTCACCTTTGGGGATTACAATCATAGCCAGGAGAGCAAGGCCTGTTGATACAGCTGCAAACGTTCCTAATGAAATTATGCTTGAACACATCCATTCAACACACAAGACTTGTTCATGTCCAAATCAACTGTCTGTTGAGCATAAAGTGCAAAACTCTGCATGTTCTGTAGTTGTTCAGAAAGTTACTCGGCAGAAAACAAATGTCTCAGTGAAGATGAAAAACGTGGAGACATGAGAGCAGAGCAGACAAGAGGAGAAGAGCTGAGTAGCTCCTTTTACCTGTAGCATCTAAAAAGACATCAGAGCAGAAACAAAATGTTATTTTAGGTCAAAGTGTTTTTTTAAGACCTTTTCTTTTTCCTTAGAATAGTTACACTGCAAAAAACATCTAGAAATAAGTAAAAAATGGCTTAAATTAAGTGTATTTATCCTTAATTTGAGCAGGTAAATAAGATGATCTGCAAATGCAATGAGTATTTGTACTGCTAAAATAAGAGGATTAGATAATATACACTTGAAATAAGACATTATTATTTTAAATATAAATTGTCTTGTTTCATTGGCAAAGTGTCTCACTTACCTCCCCAATTCAAGAAAAAAATGCACTTAATTTGAGCAAAAATTACTTATTTAGATTTCCATTTTTTGCAGTGTACAAACAAAAACAGTATCTGTCAGACATAAATTATAAATGTCGATATGTGTAACATATTTTGGTATTTGACCATGAGACAAAAAACTAAAGTAGAACACTGACTCCTAAATTACTCTCATCCTTTTACAGGACAGTTAGTGTGGATCTCAAAAAAAAAAAAAGCAAGACTGTGTGTTTGTTGTTCTAAAAGTACAAAGGTCAGTTTGACTTCTTGAATCAGAAATTCTCACCTGTTGGAATATTTTCCTGCTTTTTATTGACCCTGAAAGAGTACCCTTTCTCTGCAAACATAAATACAAAATTTATAATTATTATAATGCATATTTAGGCTCACATTAAAACAATACCAAAAACAATTCTTTTTAGTTTCAGCCTCACAAGTCCAAGAACAAGGAAAACAGCTTTTGTTTTGACTTGTTCATGTGACCCTGTGCTGTCTCACCTTCTACCATGAGCTGCACGGTGCTGACGCAGAGGTCGTTTTCATCCAAAACTTTGTATAATCCGTCATCTGAGCTTTGTAGATTCTTTATCGTTAACTGCTCCAGCTGTGGATGCTTTTCCAGGCGTTCGGTGTTTTCATCGCCCCTCTTCCACAAGTTCACCCACTCTGAACTGTTCCTGGTGCAAAACGGGAAATATAAAACAAAGATTTTTGAAAAATGCATGTTCTCTGGCAGATGCACCTTTATTGCAGACCCAACTCTGAAAGCGCTCTGAAACCTGACTGCTTTTGTTTACAACAGAACAAAACAATGTTTTATTTTGATTTTGAGATAAGAAAAATAATTTTACGTTTTAGTTAATGACCTGATTGTGAGCTTGTTTTGTTTCTTTTATTGCAAAAAAGTATTTGCTCAAGCAGAACATCTGCTAGATGTGAGTCTTATCTTACTGATTCCTCACAGGCAGTTTCTCTGTGTTAGAGGGATTGTTGAAATAACCTTGAATTAAATGAGTCTAGCCTCTTACCAAAACATTAGTTTGTGGAAAACTGTCTATTTTGTCTCTGAGAATCCAAATTCAATGCTTTGTGACAGGATCAGACAGAAACTTTGCCAAAGACTGCATCCATTCTCACTTGCAAGGCAACTTGCTGCACTGTGTCAATATTTACAGCAAAGCAGAGTCAAAGCAACATGTTTACTGATTGTTTTAAATGACTTTTATTCCCAAAACAACTAAAATATCTACTACAGAAAGACAATAGCCCTAAGAACCTCCATCAAGGGAACAGATTAGCATAAAGGTTAGTTAATTTTGAATTTCAAGACACCATGTTATGCATCTTATTGCATTATTCTGTTTTTTAAGTTAGAGTTATGTGATATAAATTTATTTTTTTTTTTTAAGTTTTGTTTTTAACCAGCAACCAAAAATAAAGAACCTCATGTAAACATTTAAATTATTAGATTAGTTTTCAAGCTAATCTCTAATTTCATGATGTTGGTTCATAACTTTATAAACTACAAATGGTTTAAGTTCTTACCTTTGTTATAATTTTAAAAATAAGAAATAGTATTTAGATTAATCTTAGCCTGCTGATCACTTATCAGACCCAACAATGGAAAATTGTTTAATTCAGACCCCTGAGCGACTGATGTATTTTTAATTAACTATGAACTTAGCAATTAATTAAGCCTCCAAATAATGAAAGCTATCATAGGATGTTTGGGTTTGATTAAAAATGTAAATCTATTGACAACAGATTGTACTGTGGATAATATATTTTAGGATGCAGACCCCTACTCTGCATAGCGATGCATTTTATGTTGAGAGTCAGTATAAGGAACAAATAATATTTATAACACAATAAAAACAAAAAGGGCTCAACCACTGCCTCGTTCTGCTGGAGGTTTCTTACTGTTAAAAGGGAGTTTTTCCTCTCCACTGTCGCTACAAGCATGCTTAGTGTGAGGGATTGTATTCAAGTCAATGAGTCAATCAATCAACTGGTTTTCCTTAGATAGAAAACTTTGAATCAATTTGACTGGATGATCTGGTGAACTGTAAAGTGCCTTGAGATGACGTCTGTTGTGAATTGGCACTAAAGAAATAAACTGAGCTGAATTGAAACCAAACTTTATTTTTATCTAAATATATATTTTAGATGTGACCAGCTAACCTGCTCTGGAAGACCACTGCATATGAGTGGGATGTGTAGAGCTTCAAAACCAGGTCTTCACCTGGCATTCGAAGCTCCCGGGTTTTGTGGTCTGAGAAAGAGAACAAAGCAAAGATCCTGTTTAGAGATGAATACAAAATATTTAGGGAAAAAAAAAATCAGATAAAGCTCTATCACAGTAAAAAGGAAGAGATTTAAAATACACCTATTCCTCCTAATTCTATACTTACCAGTTACAGATAATTTGACGCTCTGAACGAAGACCCGGCTATTTCTGGCTTTCGCTCCATCCACCAATATGAAGCTCTCATATTTCCCCGTGTCTCGAATTTGAACATCCCGGATGATCAGGGAACAATCCCCAGAAAGGAGGTTCTCCTGAGGAACCTCGACACGGCCCTCAAACTCTGCCGCCTGCCACTTGTCTTCTCCAAGCTGTTCAAATACGGTGTGTGGAGGAGACATCCACTGGACGTGGCAGGCGGACGGGTTCGTCTTTGCCTGGGTGTCCTTCCAGCTGCAGGGAAGGACCACCTCACTACCCGCCATGGATATGACGGGAACTGGCTGGGCGCCAGAGGGCAGAGCCGAAGAGTCTGGAGGACACAAACAGTTTTTAGATGTTTCCTACATGCCATCTGTTTTTTAGATGGATGGAAGAACTCAAAAATTTGACTTTTTTCTCAGAATTCTGACTTTAATCTCAGAATTCAGACTTTAATGTCAGAATTCTGACTTTAATCTCCGGATTCTCAGAAAAAAGTCAGAATTCTGAGATAAAAGTCAGAATTCTGAGAAAAAAGTCAGAATTCTGAGAAAAAAGTCAGAATTCTGAGATTAAAGTCAGAATTCATAGAAAAAAGTCAGAATTCTGACTTTAATCTCAGAATTCTGAGAAAAAAGTCAGAATTCTGACTTTTTTCCCCATACTATACTGAAATTTAAAAAATCAGTTAACTTTTTATTTTTTTTCAGTGGCCCTAATCCTCTTCCGTATTAAGGACAACTGGAAACAATGAAAATATTTAAGCTGTAATTCATAATAGAGATGTAGAAAGTTTGTTTTTGTATTTCTTCTCTATATTGTGAGTTTAAAACATTAGTTTTTCTTTAATATTTCTTATTGTTTGTAAACCCCACCTCCATAAAAGCAAATAGACATGAGCTATATTTAGCACAGCTGAGTGAGATTACAACATCAAATAATACAATATTAATATTAGGACTGAAACAATCAGATTAATCGATTATTGAAATTATCGTCAACTAATTTAGTATTCGGTTAATCGTTAAATGGAGTATAGAGGCTGTAAAATATGCCTTTAGCTGACAGAGCGACCGACTAAGAGCAGTAATTATACCAAGATTATAAATATATATAAACACTTTGCATTTAAGATAAAAAAAAAAAATGTGTCTGTGAATATGCTCTATCCAAGACTCCTCAAATGGAAACGTTTTAGTTTTCCCTGGTTTAATTTCATAAAAAAAAATTCTTTAAGGAACCTTTTAGTGTCTGATTATTAATTGATTAATCAAAACAACAACCGACAGATTAATTGATTTGCAAAATAATCGTTAGTTGCAGCCCTAATTAATATATAAATCTAAGAGGGCACTTCCCAACCAATTTCTACTGGTCTTCTTAGTTCTTGCCTAATATGTGAATCTAGGTGTGTTGCTCACTAAACACCAAACCCTGATAAGCTTCAGATAAAATGAAATTATGAAATCTTTTCAAGAACAGACATCCGAATAAATGCTTCAATTACACCACAGACTACGCATGAATACTCACCAACTAAATTGCCAGGAAGGAAACACTGCAGATATATGAAAAACCTAAAACCCACACAAACAGAAAAAAAAGATACACTGCAATAAATAACACAAGAAGCTGTAATATAATTTTATAATATAATAATAGTTTTTATGCGGTTTTGTATTTTCAAAAGACAAAGATGATTGAATTAAATGAAAAATGACAATATATGCTAACAAGATCTATTGAATTTAAAGAGTTATAAATAATGTCTGCACTGGTCCTCATCTACTTAAAAAACCTATAACCATAGCTTAAATAAATGTTATTGTATTACTGTTATTAATTTTATTATTTAGATTTTATTCATATACTATATTTTATATTTTTTTAATAGCAGATAGAAAACCTCTAGATGTAAATTATAATCTCCAGATTTAGATTGACATATTATTGGAAAATTTTGGGAATTAAATCATAAATTTGATGAAAACATATTATGTTTAAAGATACATACAGTTTTTCTTTGTAAGTATATTATTGAAATAGGTTAATAATTAAGAGAAAAAATACTAGAAATGAAACTAACAGTAAATACACTCTCATGAGATAAGCATGTGATATTATATGTTATTTATCTTAGGTTTCATGTCTGAGGAGTTGCAGTTTCCAGAGAAACGAAACCTTTCAGTGCGCCCCCCAGCGGCCACTGAAGGAGCAACACGTGGTGCATTGCTTCTGCAGTCTCTTCTATATGCATCCTGCAAAAGGATCTATGCTATATTTGCAGATTAAAGCTATATTTAATGGAGAAAACTATAGAATACTAAGAGCTTATGAACACAAAGATATTCAAAAAGAAGTTTAAATACATATTGTTGAACTATATATGTCACAAAATAAAAAAAAGAAGAAAATAAAAGAAAATATACAGAAAACAAAAATATTTCTTACCAGAGTCGCATTTGGCTCCTTTTCATTGTGTTTACTTTTTGGTAGCTTAGTTGAATCTTCATCTCTGACCTCCCTCCACACTGCTGGTAAGTGTGTTGATGACAGTTGAGGATTTTCAGTTTTATGTCAGGAGTGACGCGCTTTAAGTTTCGATTTCTTGTTTTTCAAAATAAAAGCACATCCTTTTGCTCGTATTGGTGAATTCTTTATCAGAATCAGAATCAGACATACTTTAATAACCCCAGAGTAAATTTTATATCATAAGAGCTCTCCTTTTAGGTGCTTTTTTTTTTTTTAGATAAAATGCGTCTTGTAAACATTTATATATGTTAAAGAAAAACTCTCTTTTGATGTTAAAACATCATCATGTTAAAACAACATTTAAAACATCTAGAAATTTTTTTTGTTTTTTTTTTCTATTAATAAATTATTTAATTTATTTTTGTGTTTTACATATTTATGTTCATGTCTTTGCTCTATAATCTTTCCAATTTTTGTTGTTAATGGTTTTCTAGATAAAAAAAATGTTTAAATAGACAAAAATTTGTAAAGACCTGAAGTGTGAAAAACTATGCAAAGAGAGGGAATGAGAGAGAAATAATAGCGGGCGTGTCATTTTGGATGTGGCAGTTTAAGCTTCTCTGCAGAAATGAAAGTTATCTGTGAACTCTGAGTTGGGTTCAAATGGAGAAATGCTGATGTTGATTTGCACTTGGAAAACACCAACTCTTCCGTTTTCTGCTATAGCAGAAACATGTTGGTGGTCTCCTCTGAATTCTGTGGCAAAAAAACGTCCCCCTGAACTTCCTCTGTAATAAAAAACTGCAACTAAACTCAGTTCAGTTCACAGTGTTCACCCTCCAGTCTGTCAGTCTGTCCTGAGGATATTTGTTCTCCTTAACATGGCATTTCTCTTTTGGACTGTCCTTTTTCTTTGTAAGTAACAAATCAAATTTTTATTATTTCATCTGCAGATATTTCTGCATCATTCATGCGATACAGAAATTGTGATAAATGTGCTTAGTACTGGACCAATCAGACTTTTTGACTGATGCCTATGTCCACCTTTGAGGTCACAATTTTTAATTTTGACTATTTTCTTTTTTTATTTCAAAGAAACGCAGACAAATTTGTGTTTCATTGTTAGAGATTTTAACTTTAAATCATGTTAAAAAAAAATATGATCTACCATAATCTTATTATTATCATTATAATAATTTAAACAGCTGAAGCAAAACGTATAATATCTTAGTACCTTATATATATAATGATTAAACAACATTAATTTCTTTTCAATTTTAAATAAATAATAACACATCTTTTGAAGAATCACTTTCAAATCTGGGATAATCTTCTTAAAAAGTAAACAGTCTGCTAAATAATTTAAAGAAAAGTTTTCTCAATTTCTTTATTACAGTGAAACAGCCAATATGTTTAACATTGGAGTTAAAAAGGGTGATCTAGAAAGAAGAATTAACAAAATAATGATGTGCCCAAAGCACATAACATAGGGGTGCTCAGTGGTGCAGTGGGTAGCACTGCTGCTTTGCAGCAAAAAAGGTTCTGTGTTCGATTCCTGGCCTGGGGTCTTTCTGCATGTTCTCCCTGAGCATGTGTGGGTTCTCTCCAGATACTCTGGCTTCATCTCACAGTCCAAAACCATGACTGTTAGGTTAACTGGCTTCTCTAAATTCTCCTTAGGTGTGCGTGATTGGTTGTTTGTCTCTGTGTTGCCCTGTGATGGACTGGTGACCTGTTCAGGGTGGACTCTGCCTCTCGCCCATAGAGAGCTTGAAAAAAGGCACCAGCAACCTTGCTTGGATGGACCTATATAGCCTCAAACTTCCTACAACCAGTTGTGGTTTATTGCTTTTATTTTTCTACAATTAAACAACAGAATTGTATGGCAGCATAGTGTTAGGGGCACAGAGCTTGGAATCCTGAGGTTCTGAGTTCAAGTCCCACGCCCTCAGACTGCCACTCTGACTCTCTGAGCAAGACCCTTAACCCCACACTGCTCTCTGGGCGCACCATGATGGCAGCCCACTAGGGGATGGGTTAAATGCAGAGGTACTGTATATTTCTCCAATGTGAGATCAATAAATAAAAAAATAAAAATAAAAAAAGATAGTAAAGTTGCATCTTTAAAAACATTTTTAGGAGCATTTAGGACATGTAACCATTTTGCCTGTCCATGATAGCCACTGGTTCAAAAAGAATATTTCAATAAGGTATTGACATGTTCCAAAAATATGACATATAATTTATGTTTATGATTCTGACTTGTAAATTCTCCTTAGGTGCTGCAGGATGTCACCAATCTCCCCTGTCCAGCAGTTCCCACTCTACACTGGTGGTCCACAGGGGGCAGAATGTCTCTCTGACCTGCAACCTCACCTCTGACTCAGAGGTCACCTGGTATCGGCTTCTTTCAGACCAGCTTCTGCCGTTGCTGAGAGTCCATTGTAGCAAATTAAAAAAAGAGATCACTGATTATAACAACGAAAGCCACAGTCGTATAAAATGGACAGGAAACCTGGAGAGCGGATTGATCAGGCTGGAGATCCAGGCGGTGGAGGAGGAGGATGCTGGGCTGTATTTCTGCTCTGGGCTGTCTAAAGCTAAGGTGTGTGTAGGGAGAGGAATTCACCTCAAAATCAATGGTAAGACCTGATCTTCTTTTTCCTGCATTTATTTAATCTCAGAATGATCTTTTATAAAGGTGGACACAAATAAAATAAAATGTAAGAAATTTGAGAGATTAAATCTTTTGGACAAACTTTAGATTTGCTTGAAAAACCTCTTAATCCTAACATTTTTATTGTTCTGTATTTGACACAGCTCACAACCTACAACACTATGGAAGCAAATCATTACCATATTTAAAATGAAAAAACAGAAATGCTTTTTCATTTTCAAATTTTACATTTCATATAGAATTTTGGTATGTATTTGCTGGGGTACATTTTAAAAAATAAATCTCAAATGTCTTTTTCATTTTAATTAAGTATAAGGATGAGCAGTGTTGAAGAAGAAAATTAAAATGCAAATATGATGATTGATTACTTATTTCATTTATGAGTCAAATAATGCAGCTACATTCTTAAAATGAAAAAGCATTTCCAGAAATGCTTTTTCATTTTCAAATTTTACATTTCAAATTTAATTTTGATATGTATTTGCTGGAGTACATTTTGAAAAATAAATCTCAAATGTCTTTTTCTTTTTCATTTTAATTAAGTAAAAGGATGAGCGGTGTTAAAGAAGAAAATGAAAATGCAAACAGGATTATTGATTACTAAATTCATTTATGAGCCAAACAATGCAGCCACATTCTTAAAATTAAAAAGAATTTCTGAAAATGCTTTTTCATTTTAAACATGGTAACGATTTGCTTCCATACAACACAGTGTTGTTTTACTGTAAAAGCATCCATAAGGGACATAGGGCTCTTAAGAGTTTTGAGAATTTCTGGTATATTTTGGATGACTATATAAAATAGGTGCTTCCAGAGGTGAAGAGCTTAAGGTGTTTTCCCCACCTCTATTGTGTACAGGTAATATTCCAGTGGGATATGACTGCATTTATATGGAGGATTAACTTATCCCTTCTCATGCCTAGACCAATCTTTCGTTTCCCTATATTTTGTGTTTTGCTTAAAGGCTAGAAGGCTAGAACGAGTGGAATCAGGACCTAGCAGGGGTTTAGCAATAATTATATACTTTATTTAGATCATTGCAGCAGAGGAACAATCTGAAAAGTTTGTGAATTACAGATGTAGAACCCATTAATCAACTAATTACACACTTCCTCTACCACCAAAAACACTAAACAATGGTGGAATGGTGGCCTAGTGGTTAAGGCAAAGTGCTTGGATTTCTGAGGTTGTGAGTTTGAATCCCACAGACTGCCACTCATGGCTCTCTGAGCAAGATCCTTAACCCCTGATTGCTCCACAGGCACTGCACAGTGGTAGCCCACTGCTCCCCGAGAGTTCATTTCTCCATTGTGAGATCAATAAAGTTCAATTTATATTTAATCTTATTCTAGGATGGTTTTCTTTATCTATTTTTAAATCAGCAAATTTGCGAAGAATTTTCTGTAAATAATAACAATATTAAATAATATTAAAATAATTTAATTTATATTAATATTTAATAATATTTTTTAAATAAGTAATAAAAATCTGTCTAAGGAGCAAGAGGGACCTAAATAAAAAAGTATAGCTGCAGTCTGTAGGTGGGGACCATTAATACCAAAATGAAACTGATGATGTTCTTTTTATGTAGGAAAGTTTTAATGACATTCAGAAAATTTCTGAAAGATGTTTTTCACTGTTTCCAGGCACATTTGCATGTCTAGAGATGGAAGATAGCACAATTTGTTGTCTTTAAAATAACAATTTCCTCTGCCTCCCACAGAAATACCACAATAACGTATGTATACCTTTGATAAGAGGGTTCACTAAATCAATCACCTATAAAAAACTCAGGTCATCAAATGTAGTATTTTCTTATACAGATTCCATAAGATAATTCTTCTTTGTCTGAATAACTAAAAGTGAATGTTTTTGTTCTTCCTGGCAACTGATAAGGTCATCTAGGAGTTTTCAAACATAAAAGCTACTCTTCGGTTAGGGCACCTAACCTGTAAAATTAAGTCATCATTAAATGATAGATATATTTGCTGCAAAAACATTAAAACAAAATTAAAAATACTCACAATAATATTACATTTGGCTCTTAGGTCACAAAATATCAGTGGATTTTATTCTGAAATGCTGCAAAATATACACAAAGGTCCAAAAGTCCAGAGGTTTGTCTGTGCAGGAAAACAGAAAATAAAAATGAAGGGTGAAACAAATACAGAACTCAATCTAACTTTGAATTACGGGGGTAAAGAGCTCCACAGGAAATTATTTTTTCTCTCTTTCTTTTTCTAATGTTATTTATTATTTCTGATTCATTAAGGTGGTAAAGAGGATCCTGTTGGAGGAAAGCTGCACCAGCCCTGTTGGAGTCTTGGGATCTGTGTCCTTCCAGGTTTATTCAGCCTTTGCTCTTTTCTGCTGATTGGACTCAGGTGTGTATCCACATACATCCTCCTCCTGCTAACATTCCTCTAACTTCTACAACACTTCCCCTGTTTTAACACAGCTGCTCTCCTCTGTTATGTATATTTTTTATGCCTTTTGGAGGCAGTTTTAAGTTTATAATTAAAAGAGATTAAAAAATATTTTTAAAACTTTCAATCAACTCAGGTAAGAATTTGCAAAACCTCTTCTCAATTAAGGACCTATGCAAGTAAGTTCATTGACCTCTACTGCCCCCTGTTGTTGATCTGATGGAGTTGCAGCACTTATTTAACACTCAGTTTAGCCATTCTAGTGTGTAAATTCAGTTCTAGTAACCTAGAATAAACATTACATTTATTGAAACCTTTAAAACTATTTTATAAGCACTTAATAAGACTTTGTCTGCTTCAATATAAACTAGAACATAATATTTTTAAAGAACTTTTTTTATTATTATGGATGGTTATGGATTTTCCGGCATTTTTAGCTGATCTTGTAACTCTAATGATTTCATAAACACAAAGATGACTTACCAACTGTTGTTTTATTTCCTTCTTTGAAATCCCACAGTAGAAATAAATGCTTTATCACCCAGCTGTCTCTTCTATTGTTGATAACCATGTTTTAGAGATAAAAAAGCACACCATTGGATGGTATCTTTAAACGAAAACTTTTCTTAAACTTAATTAATCTATTAAAGATCTAGGGTCACAGAGTAATATCAATAATGATATTAACAGTAATAGTCATATAAATTTCAGTATTAACATGAAAATACTTCACTCAAAGCTCAAGTTTGAAAAGTGTGAAGCACATTTTGTACGTTTGAACTGAACTATAAGATGCACTGTGTTTTGAAAACAGGTTTTACTGGTTTAAAATGACACAAGTAAACACAAAGTCATCTGTTCTCTTAATGTCTCTAAATGTGACAGTTGATGTCAGTGATGTCAGTGATGGACAATGCACTATATTACAGTAAAGTACGGAATTAGAACATTATAAATCATGCTTTCCATGCTTTCCATTTTATTACATTCATTCATACTCAGTTACAGAGTTTTAGGAAAAAGTTGAGACTTAACAGACAACCTTGAACTGTCATTCAGGCCTAACTGGAACGTTAGACATGTTAGAAAATATGACAGACCATTAAAAAAAACATAATTTTTAGCGACAATTTCATTTTAAAGGAACAATAAATTACTTCAATAATTTTTGCGATATGACAGGTTTATCACTCATTGTATAATTGAGAGTAAAAAGCATTCAGTGTAAAGAATTTATATATTTTTTTTGTCAAGTCACCTCAGTTATGTGCAATAATATCTCAAATATGTTGCAATTGCACCATTTTACAGAGAGTAAAAAGTTGCAGTCAAAGAAGAAACTAAATTGACAAAGCATCTCTATATATCCGTATGCATCATTTATTTTAACAGTAGTATTTCAAAGTATCTTTAGAAGATGCATGTTTATAATACCTTAAAATTCAACTCAAGGAATGTGGAGTTCATGTATGTAAGAGGAACGTGTCCATAATGCAAAGCCTGGTTTTCCCTCTTGCTATCTCGAATTGAACTTTTCCTGAAAAGAATAAAGCCTAAGTTAAGAAATTTGGACACGGATTTCATATATTTCCTCTAAAGCATTTCATTTTTCCAGAGGTGAAAACCGTGATGATAACCCTGAAAACCTCGAGTACCAATTATCCAAAAAGTTATTGCTGCTTCAGCAGCAGCCCATAAGGACGGAGGGAATCCTCCACGAGGGCTTTCTTTTGCACATCGTTGCAGCCTTCAGGGATGTACACCAACCACACATCCTCTCTCTGGCACTTCTGCCTTTTTTCTGGGTTGATACGGTTCTGAAGAACCACCTTATATTGCTTCCCATTCTCCTTGGACTTGAAAATCTTGCAATACTTCTCAGCCATCTTGATGTCTGAGGTGGAGTACACCCCTCTGCCTTTGGTGTCTGGCTTTAGAAGAGAGGCAGCGCAGGCATCCAGAAAGTCTGGCGCGTCGTTTGGTGGGCCGTCACGGGTGAGGATGATGCCGAGGGAGCCGTCCATGTTGTGGCCATGGTAGGAGACTGGCCAGGCGTTGGTCCCTGTCCCAAGCCAATTATTCCCATCTGGGTACTTGTCTAGGACACGCAGGGCGAATCGTTTCCATCCACAGGGGCGAATGTACTTCTCATTTCCACGCAGAAATGTCTTATCACCATCCTGCAAACCAGAAAATATTTATTTAATCTCCTCTTAGCTTGTATAGTTGTAAAAAACTCAGAACAGGAGTTTCTGATTATGAGCAAAAAAAAATCAGAAATCAATCATCATAAAGACCAAGTTTGTGAAAAGTAAGACTAGTAGCTGCACATGTTGATGTTTTTGTAGAGTTGGGAGGTTTAAACTCTAAAGCTGTAATCACAGCATAAGGCGGCATTATAAAACATCAAGAAAACCTGAATACAAATGAATAAAACTCTTTTTAGAATACTGTTAGAAGTAGACCGATACTTTGGCCAGCCAATATTTTTGGCCATTATTGTTGTTGTTTTTTTTTTTTATCTTTTATCAGACAATATGATACAAGATCATTGAGATAATATATAATAGAATTGTTACTTTTTTGTTTGATTTGTTAATTGTTTTAGTTTTTTTCCTTTAAATTGAGACCATTTGGTGTCACTGTGTCATTTTCATTATGTATATGGAGGAAGAAAAAGCAATATCAGCTCAAAGATAAATTATCGGCACTTATGTAGAATAATCGGTATCAGCATCGGCCTTTCAAATGGTTGAATTAGGATCCTGTGTATCCGTTTTTGCCTCTTCACAGTTAAATACAACCTTATTTTAATCTAATAATAATAGAGTCCCATTAACATAATGGTCAGAGTTTGAATTTGTAACATGACATCGTTTGTTAAGGTTTAATGGGTAGGAACACTTTTGCAAACATCAAAAAACAACAGCAAAGAAGTGAAGGTCAGGATTAGATGAGTAACCATCTGCCTGTGGTATTTGATGAACATGTTCTCATGTCTTTCTCATTTTTCTCTCTAATCGCATCATATTTATCCCACAGACTAACAGGAAGTCATTGAATATTAATTAAAGGTTTGTGGAAACTGATGGACTCCAAAATTAGTAGAAATGTTTTAGATACTTTGATTTTATGGGTTGTTATTAACTCATGATAACAGTATAATATATGAATATTTTTCACAGAAGAGGTTTTTATAAATAAATGTACTATAATGAGAGAGTAACTTATACAAGTGTCTTTTTTTTATCTCTGTCAGTAAATGTTTGATGTGTTTTCATTTTTGTTTGTTTTCTATTTTCTTTTATGTTCACCCACATGGCTTCCCGATCAGCACTCTTATTTACTTAAAAAGGACTTTGTTTATTACAGGACTTCTGTAACCCCTATTAGATGGAAATTTGCTTGCAGTAGCTCATTCACGTTTGAACTGTAAACACTCCCTCCATTCATATCTTACTTTAAAGCCAGCCTGCTCCAGAAGAGGAGTTAATACTGTTATTTTGTAAAATAAATCTATAATTTTACTGTTTTTCCTCTGTGTTTTTTATTAATATCATTGTTATTTATCTTAGTTTAAGGTTCAGACAACCATATCCCTACACCTGCTGTGTTACGTAAGGCCTGTGTCACATGACATGCTTCCAAACAAACAAGGCTTCGTGTTTTCTCCTTACCTTTATGTTGGTGAAATCGTAGTCAAACTGTGGATGGAAAAAGTCTTGGGGATTGACCCTAACCGTTGGTCTAAGGCTCACCACAGGTTCGCCAGTCAGGGCTGGTGGAGAGCTGTACATGTCCTGATTTTCCATGTCTTGCAAGGATAATGTCCCCAAACTGGGGTACTCTAGTTCCTGAAATCCCTCCTGTTTGTAAAACTCTCTGAGGGCTACAATGTTGACAAAATCCTGTGAGGTGAGCTGCGAGGGTCCGGTTGTTGCCTCGACATTGCACCCAGAGAGTGCTGACAAGGCCTCCATGCAAACTGTGTTTTGCATAATGCTCTCCAACGTTGTAAAAATCTTCAGGGAGGAAGATAAACGTCTTCTCCTTTAGGATTAGGTGGAAAAATCTTCTTTTCTCTGTTCTTTAGTTGAAAAAACGGTGGTTATTTATCACCAAATGTCAGGAAAGAAAGACGATCCCTCTCTCAGCTGCTTCGACAGAAGACTGATCATAGGTTTCACTTTTGATCTTAAACTTTTACTCTTTCACTTTCGCTTATCAGATTGTTTCCTGCAAATCAGAGCCTTCTTGGCAGTAAAAGCAGGGTTGAGGAATGTTTTGGGCTAGCAGAGGGACAGCCTAGATCTAACACTCTAACACTAACAACCTTGTTTCAGTCATTTATACCCTCAGGTTTTTAGTCATCTAGTTAAAAAGGGTTGCCTTTGTAATTTTGTTATGATTCCTGTTAAGTATTAGAATATTAGATCAATATGATGGTAATATATGGTATTTTCAATATTAGATACTTAGAAGAAAACAAAGCATGCATTGCATGTCTGGGGTCAAGTTACATTACAAGAAGGTACCAAACAGCATCATGCGTTTACCCCTTAGATCACAGACACACAGTGACTTTATGAGTTTCCTTATCCATTATTTAAGCTCCTTATGATTCTTCTTCAACCTGAACCATATATACAGTTCAGTGTAAATTCATCCATGTCTTTAAACCTTCCTACTTACCAAGATTAGTAATGTAATTTCAAATAAATCACATGAACAGACTTAATCTCTATTGATTTTCTATCTCCCTCATATTCTGCTTCATTATCAGGTAAAGCAGGTCACTGCTGCTGCAACCCAGAAAAACAGAGCACTACTTTGAGGGCGACAGAGGTCAGTAGATGTTTGAAACATGCTGATGATTTTATTTTGCTAAAATGTTAGTTATTGGTATAAAACACAGCCGAACCACTGGTTGTGTATGTTTCGTGTTTAAAGTCTGATGATTTCCTCAAAGTGCAATGATCCGTGTAAAAACATTGTAAATGTAGTTTGGTTTTGTAGCCATCCAGATGTTGACACCCATTCATTCTAAATTCAGTATTTCCCAAATATGTAAATCATTAGATTTAATACTTCTTTTAAAGTAAATATACATTTTATTTTCACTAATGTGCTCATCGGAGTATCAGAGAAGGTGAAGTTGTAATTTTTTTTTTAAATGTCTCTGCAGGAAGATTCTTTACAATATTCCAGTCTGAGGCATCCAGATAAGCCCGGCCCACCTACCAAGACTGCACCCAGAATGGTGGAGAACTTTGTCATCTATTCCACAGTGAACACTCGTAAAAATGTAAATGCTTTACATGGCCAGAGATAATATTGTTTCTGCTGAGTGGTTATTTTTAATGTCTGATTACCAACTTCCAGCCGACTTAAGAAGCCATTTTTGACTTTTCTTCTTTTTCGTATGTGTTTTAGTACACTTTTTGATTAACACAGAAGAACCCTGTCTGGTTTACAAAAGATATTTGTTAATCCATATGTTGTTTCATATCAGCAATGTAAATACTGATTCCATTCAAAATTCAGTACAATGTTGTTGTTTTTTTGCTATCAAAGGAACATTTTAAGAGTGCTAAATACAACTTTTCTGTGCAATAAGAAAATTAAATAAGTCATTATAGAATAGACGGTACATAAGACAATATTTTCAGTATCTGATATGGACGCTGTAAAGTGTTTTCATGTTATATAATAGTGATTATTGGGTCTTTAAGATATTATAACAACCTAACATCCAAACTATACATTTCAAGCAATCCCATGTAAGGTTCTAAAGAAAAAACAACTGTTAAATTACAAGTTGTTTCAAGCTATTTCACTAATCTTTGTTTTAGAGTTCAACCTTTTTGTGTAACTGCTGTAAAACGAGTTCTTTCACTTTTTGCCTTAAACCTTTACCACCATTCAGCTGCTTATGTCAAGAATGTTAAAGTCTGTTACAGGGACAGAATGTTAAGAATAGAAGAAAAAACAAACGGGACACCGTTTTGATTGAAGATATGCTTGTAGAAAAACTTTACCAGCCGAGCAAAGCTTTATTCCAGTTTCATATATATGTGCTCAATTGTATTCAGTAATTCATATGTGAATATTTCTGTAATAAAAATCAAATGTTGGTTTATCCAATAATTGTGATTTATTGGCATCCAGTAGACCTTTGTGTTGATTTCACTTCCTACTCTTTAAATTGAAAAACAAATCCACATTTTTACTGACCAAACCCTTAGCCTAAAATTGTCTTTTTAATGTTTGTGTGTTTTATGTTATAAGAGCTTTAAGCTTTAATCAGAGTTAGAACTGAAACAAAGACAGCTAATCCATGCTTAACAAAGAATGGAGGAAATCCACTGGAATCAGGTGAAAGTGTTTTTGGCTCCAGGTCTGGTGATGACTGAAGAATAGACAACATTATTACTGCCGCTCTGATCAAGTAGCCAGCTGGGTCTTTGGCTCCAGCTCTGTCGACCCAGAGAGGCGTAGTGGATGGTTTCATCAGGCAGGGTTGGACGCTCAAACACCTCATACTCTGCAGCCAAATAAAACCAGTCATTTTAACACATTGGATTCATTACAAAAAGAACTAACTTCTTATTTACAAACTCCTTTACCAGTTTGGGCGTTATATGTCATCCACAGCTGCAGCTCTGTGTCCTCTCGTCTTTTTGCTACCAAAGGATATAAACTGGTTAGAATAAAGGATATGATGTTGAAAATAACACACAATGCATGAAAAATGTTGGATCATTTCCTTTAGCAACTGATACATTTATTAAATCTTAATAGTGAGCCTAAAGTGTATATCCCATGGAGATTATTGATATTAATAAATCATGAAATAGATATATTCTCAAATCACAATATCAACACCTAAGATATAACCGTGTTACTATGTTTGGTCTTCTTACTTACCTACAATCAAACTATTAATTATCAGTGGGAAGAAAAGTAATTTTGCAATTTAAAAGTTGCAAGTTCATTTCCAGCTTCTTTCTGCCGCAGGTCGAAATGCAATAATATTACCACCTATTTGTTTATTGGTGTGTACATGTGTCAATATGGCAGATAATGTCCCCATTTCTGTATTAAAAAAAACTAAGCTAAAGTTTTGTGCTTAAAGGCTCGAAATACATCTTATAGCTAACATTAAGTTTGGTAAGAATTCAGAAACACTTCAACCAAATACAGCAATAATTGTAAAACAATGGAGGCAGGCAGTGTAGTTAAGGTTGTATTCCGGGGGGAGATTCTCAGTCATTCAGGACATGACAAACTGAAGAGCCTCAGCAGAATGCAGCTTTTCTTTTTTTATTTAAATGAGGAACATGTTAGGAAAGAACTAACTTACTGTAGATTATAAAGCAAAAATGACCCAAAGATAAAGCTGAACAGAGGTTAGAGCTGTTCATGGGTGCATTCAGTTAAAATAATTATGGTTATAAAGGCTTAATAATGAATTAGTCATGATTCTTATTTAGCAGATTAGTCCCTTATATTAATTAGTCCACCATTCTGCAAGCTCGTTCCCCGTGTATTCTATTTTACCAACAAAAATTATTTGGCATTTAATAATTTTTTTAATTACAGACAAAAATAACAAGTTTTAGCCATAATTCATGCCTTTGAACTTATAAGAATAATACCTGAAAAATATAGGGATTTTCGTTTTTTTTTTAAAGAATTTCCTTTGACTTAAAGATCTGCAATGTTATACATGGAAACGTGAAACGGGTAACGTTCTGTTTTTGGCAAAACCTCTTTAGCATCGCTGTGTACTAAATTTTGCCAACTAATCCGAGTGTTTATTATTCTAATATAATAAAGTACAAAAAAATCTGCTGTGAACGCATCATTTTAGATTATTTTTAAAAGGGCATTAAATAAAGATACTTGTTAAGAATACTTTAGAAAAACACAAAATCATAGAAGAAGTTTTAGGATGATCAATGTTCATATTTCTAAATTGATATTTGATGTTTATAGTAGTCATCCAATCATTGCCAATTTGCCACTACCCACATACCATTTAACGGTCTGCTGCTCAGCTTTCCATGACAGGACAAATAACCTTTAACACATTCACTTCTAAGGTGGAATTTAAAGAGTCTAGTGAAGGCAACACATGTGTTTTAGACTTGGAGGAAGCTAAACACTGCTTAAAACAGTGGTACCAATAAGACTTGTAATTATGATTAGATTAAATGATTTTATTACATTTCTGCACCAAAACTTAACTAACCTGAATACCAATAAGATAAACAAATAGAATAATAACCACCTGCATATCTCTGTCTCCTCTTGTTTCTGCACTTCATGCTGGTTAGGAAAATGCAGACGAGTGCTATCAGGACGATCATTAACCCAGAACCAATGACAGCGACCAGTAGCAGAGCTGGAAACAAGCACAACGAGTGAGCACACATATAACAACACCAACAGAATAAAACAAAGAAGGTTTTTATCGGTTATGGTCAGGTGTGTTTACTGCAGCTGACCATTCTCAGGTCTCTTCTTTGTTGTGTTGTTTGTTTCAAAAACATCTGGGGAAAAAAATTACATTTTGTAAATTACAAATTGTTTTTCATGACAAAAATGAATGATTTTGAAAGAAGAGCCTACCTGTCTTTGGAACAGCTGATACTGTTGTTATACTGGTAGATAATGCTGGCAGGATGCTGGTGGATGCAGGATTCTCTGAAATATGGAACAGTTTTAAATGCACTATCAAGTGAAAAGCAGTAGGCCAGATAAAAGAGCTTAATTGACAACACTGATGTTAAATACTTTAGTTTTATGTATATTGTGGATGATATGACACATTATCACACTATTATATTAGCTTATTTTGTATCAGACAGATAAGGAGAATAATAAGATGCCACACCAATACTTAGAAGTCCATTTTGTTTCACTTCAAATTTAAAATGTAGTAATTTTCGATTACATTTTTTTTCCATTAATTCACTTTTCTAATTATTAATCTGTAGGCTTTAAATAATGACCTTAAATATTGTTTTGCCTTAAGAAACTCTGAATGTGGCAGCAGATAGAATTAAAAACTCACCTTTCTACAGAGCATTTCTTCAGATTTCAAACTACTCATCAAAATAGCATCAAGATATTAAATCTCAAAACTAAGTTGATTCTGTCTGCATTTACATAGACAGTTAGCTTGGCTTAAAATACAATTCTGAAGCTATTTTAACTGGTTTTATCATCAGGAAAATAATGTTTTTTATAATGCAAAATTCCGTGAAAACAATGAACAAAGGTCATATATTTCACCTTGCAGGACGGTGAGTTTTGCCTGTATTATTCTATTGCAGATATACTCTCCGGCGTCATCTAGCTGCAGGTCTCTGATCTGCAGTGAATCGTTCTCGTAGCTCAGTCTGCTCTCGTCTGTTTCTGCTTTCTCTGTACCATCTTTGAAACGCGTGAAGATGACCACTGCATTCTGTCCTTCTCTGTGTCTCATCCACTTGTGTTTGAGCTTAGGGGAGCCTCTGCAGGCCAGCAGAAGTGTCCATCCTGCAGGTACCTTGAGGTCATGCCCTAAAGATATAAAGGTAGTAGTATAGGGATCATTGGTTTTTAGTTTTACAGCTTTGAGGTTTGTAACATAACTTCTCATTCTCAGTGGTGAAGATATCTGTGGTTTCAAACACCCCCCATAGTGCATAAAATGCTGCTTACTTCACATCATACCATTGAGAACCTGCAGCTCAGCCACCAGCTGCTGGTTGCACTGATATTCTCCACTGTCTGAGTCATGGAGCTTCAGCACGCAGAGACCACCATCGTCCAACAGATCATAATGCTGAGGGTCCAGAATGGTCTTGTGGCTTCCCTGCCGGTCCACAAGGACCTTCCGGTTCTGATGAGTCCAAATCACATTGGAGCTGGCAGAGGCCCCGCATGGCAGGCACACATGTTGATCCTCCAGGACTGAGTACCGGATCACTGCTGATGTGGAGAGACTGGCCAAATAACCAAAACTCCCAGCCTGAGGACCTGAAATGGGAACAGTTAATAAATAAAAACTGTTCTTGTAATTGTTTTTTTCATAATTGTTTTTTTTAACTATTCAGATTCATACATATGTAAATCAAAAACTATTTTGCTTCAGATTAACCCCACTTTGAACAATAAATTAACATAAAGAGAAAATGCTACGATTCTCTTAGTTTTTTTAATATAGGCTATTTACAACACAGACGTGTTTTTACAGATATTTCCACACAAGTCAGATATTGTTAAACCTTAGTTCCATATTTAGATGCAGCTAATATTAACTGTCACAGACACATTAGACTGGAAGTTAACTTTTAGCCAAGTCTCCTGCTTTATCTGCACTTCCTGTTCTATCTCATGGAAACATGCTCACTCATCCACTCAGACTAAAATAAGAAGCATACAGGAAAATTATGACATATTTAAAATAAAATGTTTATGTGCATAAGAAATATTTAAGAAGTATAACATGTGTAGTACATAAAAAATAAAATCTAAATAAATTATTTTTACTTATTAAACTTCATATTTTGTCTGTATCGATTCTGATAAATATAAGCTAGGATTGTTTTTGAAAAATAAAATAAGATCATTATAAAATAAAATTCACTTTAGTGTATATATATTTTACCAATTCACATCTCATCTTATTAAGCATTTATTAAAATCCTACAGACAGACACCCATCTGATTGCATTGAGTCCTTCCACCTGGATGAACATGTAACAGCTGTGGACATTTGCTTGCAGGAATTCAATAAACCTATTTTGCATGATTCATAAATCTATTCTGCATAATGATATGCTTTTCTGATGATATATTGAGTATCAGTTGCATTCACCACTGAAAAAACTATAATATGAAGCTGAATTTCAAAAGGATTTATTTATCATAAAATAAAGATATCATCAAAAACTTAACAGTAAGGAGTCAAATAATGTCTATCAATGATAAAAATTATTGAAGGAAGAAGAAAGCAGTCTGTACCTTTGACGTTTTCTAAGCTGTAGATCTCATCAGGGATTTGAAACAAAACATAACAGAAGATTATAAGCATGAGCATCTTTGCAAAAGAAAAATATGATGGTGTTGCAAAGGTCCTGCTGCTGGTTGTTCTGGAAAATGGACCTCCTGTCTGTCACAGTCTGTTTTTCCACATGATCCTCTTCCTCTTCCTCAAAAAGACTTTGTTTGTCTGAGCATTAGTGTCTGTGGAATTGGGAATTTGAATTCACTCTATATATATAAAAATGTAAAATGTAAGTAATACATTTTAACTACCGTAGTCAACTCTTGCATTTTGTTGTACGGTATGTGTGAATGAGGACCCATCATAAACAAATCATCAAAACTACGGTAAAATAAATTCCATGTATACTGAATATAGAATTTTGATGTGTCTGTTTTGCACATATGTCACATGAAATAGCAAAAGAACATAAACACGAGAAGCATACGGCAAAAAACATTGCTACGTTTTTTAAAATTGCTAAACTTTGCCGGCAACATTCCACCTGTTCCAGTTCACCTACCGACGGAACCGCTTCACTTAGGTCTCTGCTGCTCTCCACCTGAGCCTGGCACACCTGGAGGAGAAGAACACCCATGTGCGGATGCTGTTCCTGGACTTCAGTTTAGCTTTCAACACCATCATTCCACAGCATCTGATGGGAAAACTGAAACAACTGGGCTTCATTACAACCCTTTTAAATTGGCTGCTAGACATCTTCACAAACAGACCTCAGTCACCTCTGATGTCATCATCCTAAGCACAGGCTCCCCTCAGGGCTGTGTCCTGGGCCCCCTACTGTTCACCCTGATGACAAATGACTGCATCCCCAGGTTCACCACCAATCACATTGGGAGGTTTGCAGACGACACCACGGTGGTGGGCCTCATCAGAGACGACAACGACCAGGACTACAGAGAGGAGGTGGAGCAGCTGGTGGACTGGTGCAGAGACAACAGCCTGATCCTGAACGTGGAGAAGACGAAGGAGATCATCTTGGACTTCAGAAAGAACCAGCCTAATCACGCTCCACTGCTCATCAACAGCTCAGCTGTAGAGGTGGTCAACAGCACCAAATTCCGGGTTGTGCACATTACAGACACCCTCACCTGGAATGTAAACACCACCTCACTGGTCAAAAGGGCACAGAAGCACATGTACTTCTTGCGGAGGATGAGGAGAGCCTGCCTGCCCCCACCCATCCTCACCACCTTCTACAGAAGCACCATAGAGAGTGTTCTGACCAGCTGTCTCACTGTGTGGTGTGGAGACTGCAGCGCCTCAAACTGGAAGAAAGTCAGGAGAGTGCTGAGAACATTAAAGAAGATTATTGGGGCTCCTCTTCCCTCCATTAAAGACATTACATCCCAGCGCTGCGTGTCCCGAGCCCGTAACAGTTTCTTCCCCACTGCCATAAGACTGCTGAATGTTGTGTAAAATGTCATATTATTTTTATTTTAGTCATACTATTTTATTATGTATTTATTACTGTTTTCAAGGCTGCACTTTAAAAATTTAAAATTGTCTAGAGCTGGTTTAAACACAGTTTCTTTCTGTTTACTCTCCTGTATACAAAATGACTAAATAAATCTGTCTACATCTAAGTCTACATCTACATCCAGCATGAGGATATTTTGATGCATTAACCTTTCTCCTGTATACAGAAAACATCTGTCCAGCTTTACTTCTTACTAAATTTTCCTCATTCAGAATCCCTCAATTATCACTCTTGATAAGGAAAAAAAAAAAGAAGAATAATATGGGAATGTTTTTTAAACACATATTTGTTTAGACTTTTGCTCAAATGTTTTATTTCCACACTAATTAAAGTAACAAAGTGGGCATGGCTGCAAACAGAAAAAATACAGAAGCTGGTAAAAGTTGCAGCATAACTTTTTTCTTGGTTATGTAATATCAGGGTCGCTGAATGTGCTTCAAAATTGTTTGTGAACAGGACAATTATTCGTATATATTTCATCATATTAAGAACAACTTTCAGTTTGGAAACAGTATTGTTTTAAACAATGTGAAGCCTGATTAAAACCAGCTGTGTCGCTGCAATGCTTGAATACACGTGAATTTCCTCAGAACTATTTTTGTTTACTCTAAATAAAATCGCGTTGTTTGGTTGAATGTTCCCGTCAATCAAAATCTAACAATTCTATTGGACGGAATCATCTTTAAAAGGGTGTTCCGCAACCACCTGTTTAACTATAGGGTTACTGGCTGACCAATCACGGTTGTTCGGATATTGTATTGGCTTTCATCTTTGTCAATCAGAGCTATGTTTGATTTGATTGGCTGATTCCCCAAAAGTAGGCGGTAACCTTCTGGAAAATGCGTTTCCTCGTCTGTCATATGCAAAGCGAAAGGAAGGGTCGATAACTTGACCAGAGGGCATGAATATAACCCTATTCTACTCTAATTAAGAATTTAATGTACTTGATATTGCAAATGGTAGACAAATCGATAAGAAACTGTTAGTTTGAGGATAAAGATAAAGGTTTTATCGAGTCTATGTTTGTTTAGCTGCTGTTATCACGTCGGACTGCAGACTCCTGCTTTCCAAACACACCGCCTTTGTGGCAATGACTGCGGACCTTTTATCTGACCTGGATAGTCGATTCTTCGCCGATAATCTCTTAACGAGCGAAGATTGGGGTAAGTTATTATTAAACCCATCTATAAATAAAGATATATTTCCAGAAATTGAACTCAAAAGCTAAGTGGGTGGGCTAACGGTGGGACCGAGACGAGGCCGACAGGGCGTACACGATTCTCAGCTCATGTATATTAGTTTTTAATGTTTATATCTGAGTCATAAAACAGTAATATTTGCTTCTTGTTCGTTTTTTCAGTGTAATCTGTGTCGCACGTGGTTATAGCCTTGCTATGAGCTGCTTCCTCTATCATCTAACCCGGACGTGCCTGTTTATCGGGCTCACAGGGGCTGTGAACGTGATTGCACGTTTTTATATAACCTCTTCTGAACATTTCTCCTTTAAAAAAGCAAATCTATTGCCCTTTTTTTTTTTTTTTTTTTTTTTTTAAATACTTCAATCTAAACCCATTGATAGAGTTATCAATATTTTAGTCACTCGTCGATGGTTATGGTCTTAACAGAATTGATAAGGGAAAAAAGCTTTTAAATTAAAGTATTTGAACGATTGTTGCTGGTTTATTATCTAAAACGTTTCTGTTGATGAAGCATAACATGCAACCGACATATTGTTATTGATAGTGCAAATATTCTTTGCAGGTTTTCCTATATTTTCCTTTTTTTCCCCTTTCCGTCATCAGATTGTCCCTATCTCTGTCACCAAGATGGATTATCTCACTTATTTCTATCCATAATAGTTGTGTGCATGACAAGTGATGAGAGTTAATCTGTCTAATTACAAAATTAGCTTGCAGAACAATAATGCATGCCACCTTATAGCCAACCATATAAATTTAAGCCTAACATTTTGATTTTAACGATATTTCTAATCAAAAGAGTATACATTAGTCATTTGGAGCTAAATATTTTGCAGAGTCTCTTGATGTCTGTTTTGTACAGAAGAGGATTAGGGCCACTGAAAAAATTAAACTGATTTTCACATTTTATTTCAGTTTAATATGGGAAAAAAGTCAGAAATCTGTGAAAAAAAAAAGTCTGAATTTTGAGATTAAAGTCAGAATTCTAAGATTAAATCAGAAGTCTGAATTTTTTGGCCCTAATCGTCTTCCGTAGTCTTAAACTGCAGCTCATTCAACAAACTGTTGGAGTCATTATAGGCTTGTTTGGTCATGGTTTTAGTGTAGTAGCCTATGGTGCAACACATGCATGGAGGCCTTTAGGCCTTGACCCAGCTGCCAGGGGAGACCTTTGTTGCACTTCTTCCCCTTCTTTCAATCCCTTTTCCTGTCTTACAACTGTGGAAATAAAGCCCACTGATGCCATGACAAAACAAACAAAAAACAGAAAAAAAAATCAGTGCTTTAAGTGTAAAGTATAAATAAAGTTCTTTGTGATGTAAAATTTCTTACTCTTTTAGAATGATTGTGGTAAAATTGGGCACTACTCCCATCCTTGCTTAGAAAGAAAGTAAACATTTGGCTCTTTTGAGATGTTTCTCTTTGAGAAACAACAAACCCAAATAGTCATAGTGTAGGAAAGAAACAGATTACTGTTTTTAAGTTATCAACATTTTATCAATTTTATCAACAATCTACAAATGTCAAGCTTTAAACCCATTAACCAACCATCTAAAATGTTTTTTTTTTTAGTTTTATACTCCCAGTGTTCATTATTCAAGAAAAAGTTGAAAATCTAAGAAGCTGCAAACTCCTGGGTGCTTCTTCTCATTTGCCACTTTTTTTATTCCATAGATTAGCATATATTAACTCCATGCAACGGCATAACGACACAACAATACAACATTATCTGAGTAGGCCCCATATAAAGTACAACACGTGATAAAGGTTCAGGATACGGCGACAGTTCCATGAATTGGCCAAGAAGATAGAATTATGCAATTCTCAGTAGTATATGATCACTCATGGAAAAATAGTGATTACACGCCTTGAATGGAACCATTGGATCCCAAGTTCCAAAAACTGATTTCACAGAGATGCTTATTGAACCCACACCCCCGTAGACAACCGACCCGAAACGTGCCCCATACATACACACACCCCGCTCTGTCTCATGCCTGCGCAATCGCAGTAGTTTTAATCCGCACATGGTGCACAAATTATTGAACTGCCTGCACGCTCTCACTCACATTGAAAAAACACCACCTCGCAGAGTCTAAAATCCGGGACAATTAATCCGACTCGCGGCCATCCGTGAACGACTATCTATATTAGGGAGACTTCCCGAGCAGCCCCCCTCCTCACCCATGCTCTCTCCATTTATCTCCTGGTCGCAATCTTTACTCACTGTAGCAGCAATGTCCACCTCTCCCTATTCGGTTCTTTGAAAGAACGTGTTGATTTTGGGAAGTTTTTTCTGTTCTTCCAGCAGCTCTTCTTTTTCTTTTCTGGAATCCGCTTAAGTACCTCTTTTTGGTATCCATCGGCGCTAACACATTGTACGTAACGGTTATAGTTTTAATCTACGCTCTGGGTTACCCATAATTCCAAGTCGTAGTGTAAAAAAAAAAAAACTCAAGATACATTGTGCTTTTAGGATCTTTATTGTGGTTTGAAACACTATATATATATGAGTGTATTTTTTAACCAAACGTCTAATGAACTATACATAGTTATTAACATAGTAATTAAAAGTACCACTGTCTGCTTTGCTGTTGTTGTCGTGTTTAAACATCTCATCATCATGTTGAAATCTGGCATGTGTTGTGGTATAAATATGCTCAAGTGCGGTCAGTCACTTTAGTATCAGGTGGGTTTAAGAGGAATTTTTCACACCATTGCATATGCAAAGGGACGTCCTAGTCCACAATTGTGTAGAGGATCTTTGAGGTGTCCGTGATGGGGCCCCAAAGAGGTCGTGGGCCTGTAAGCCATTGCTCCATGTATCAAAATCAAAATAAATTTTATGATGTTAAATTTAGTATTCCTGTATTTTATTGTTGTAGTAGGGTTGCTGTAGTGTATAAAAACTAAGAAATGGATTGTTCTCATATTGAGACCAGAGGTTCGGTGGTACATTTTCCGTCAAACCTTCAATATATTCTGACTTTTTAGATTTAAGTTTGTTAAACTAGTATAAAACCAGTGCATAAATTATAGCTAAATGCAGCAAGACCTGAGCTAACTTTGATAGACTCCAACGGCTTTGCTGGCTGATCTGCTTTGCACATCCGCTGGGTTGAATCTAGCAAGTCATTTTGCGCCTCACCATTCAAAAATGTACGTTTTCACATCTTTGGCCAGATGACGCACCCTTCAAAGGGTGGCCATGGAGATCGATAGAGAGTATTTCCACAAAGTTTGCAGAAAAACTCTAAACATGAAAAGTGTGACGGCGGCCAAATCACACCAAATATCCACCATTCACCAGCAGCCGGTTCGCTTGTTTTTCAGTGCTGCGCAATGCAGCTGAAACCTCAAACTCAGCTATGAGTAAATTATTGCTCTCACACCTTAGTGGCAAACCAGCATTACCAGCAACACCTGCAAACCAGTAGCAGACCTTGCTGACTAACTTGAGAGCTGAGGGTCCTAAATGATGCATCAGGGAGCTGGTCCAAACTTGGCCAAAAGTTTTGCATGTATGAGTGTTATTAAGTTCCAGCTTGGGTGAGAGATGGACCGTCATCATACACGGGTCAGAGCAGTTGGATCATGTTTCACAGTTTTTCTTTTAGAGTTTTTTTTTTCCTCTAGTAAGCTCCATCTTAATCAGAATGAATCACACTGTGGGATTTGCCTACACACCTCATACCAAGTATGGTGAAAGATGTAACTAAAATGTTCTGCCATACCAACGGAAAAAAATTATAAAAGGAATAAATATTTCAGGACTACAACTAAGTTCTTATAACATATGTTCTGCTATTGCTAAAATCAATATTTCTGCTTTAATGTTACTATTTGTGGCTTTTTTTATTTTTATTTTTTATGACAGTACTAAAGTCATGCGATATATTTTAGCTCTAAGCTGGAATAAAAATGTATGTCACCAAATGTGAATGTAGACCAAATCAATTTTCATCCAAGCTCAGACAGACTTGAGCGGCTATCTGTATTTTCAGTCAGTGGTTTTGATAGGGTCTGAGCTTCAATTTATAAAGCATTAGTCAGTAGATTTGTTTAGGACTCCCTACTATTTATTCTAAAGCTGCATCCTTAAAGGTGGTTCACATGAATTGCAGCCGTATGGCGAACAAACAGAGCTGCTCTAAGGTCTCAATTCAACAAAATAGAGAGACAGTTGCCAGATCAGTCCCGTTTATGGATCAGATTAAGTTATTGATATAAAAAGCCATTTTGGCGTTGCCACACTATAAAGATTTGTTCCAAGTTAGTCAGTAGATTTGTTTAGGATTTTTTTAAAGGATCAGAACAGACTATTGTCTCTGTGTATCTCTGTTTACACACTCCCCCTCAGGTCGTTTAGGGTTTTAGGTGCATTTTACAGTCAAAATGTAGGGATTTATGGCTGGATGTGGACTAAAGGATAAAAGCTGTTGCTCTTTCCTTCTAGTCAGGCGGTAAACATGATTAAAACTAGGTTAAGGGTTGGTGAACGATGACTGATGATTGACAAAGCAGGGCCAGTTCAGCTGCACGGACTCCTTTCAAAAGCACATTTACAGGTTTTTAAAACATTTAAAATATGCAGTTGACTTCCAGTTAGTAATTGCTTTTTTTTAAAGAATGGTTACTGATCATAGACTATTAATGATGTCTTTAATCATTGCTACTATAAGAGTTTTCAATGGCTTTAAAAGCTTTAAAAATGATTTACTTTTAGCTGTTCTTTGACCTTAATAATAATTATAGTAATAATAATAACAATGTCTTTTTGATTTTATCACAAAAGTTGCAGATTTTGTTTTAAAATCTGCTGCTCTCTTACAAGATCTCATCACAGTAACAGTTTGTTTGTTACTAGTTTATTTTAGTTTTGAAGTCCAGTTTGCAGCTTTTCAGGAGAGGTAGCATTCTTAAACCAACTTAAATGAAACCTGGAGTTTGTTTTTACCGACAACAGAGCAAGCGTATCACTTCCAAGAGAAACTTGTTTTCATATCTGCTGATGTGATCTTATAGTTCGCTGTTAAAATATTTATCTACAATATGTTTTAGCACTGAGTTTTATACGGACGTTATAATAACATCTACGTTGTTTAACTCTGCCTGAGAGCCTGTTTGCATGGCATCTGTGAACAATGAAACCTTACAAAGACATCGTTTATTCTTTTCCTTCTGATTCATAAGCATTTTTATGACTCAATCGCTGGCGCTTCTTAGGGCATGGACAAGTAAAAGTTGTGCCTCTATCACAGTTTATATAAACAACTCATCTGTTAATTTGAATTAAGGACATCTTTATTTGTTTTATTAATACTAAGTATTAGTTTTAGCTAGATAATTAAACACTGAATTTCATAGTAAAAATATAAAAAAATAGCAACACCATTAACTTTGATTAATTTCTGATGGTTAGCGTTAATGTTAATGAATCCATAGATAGGAGAAGAAAGGCAGCACAGATGAACATTGCTGAAATTATAGGACAAAAATGATTATGTGAACGTTTTTAGATGTATTTTATTGTTTTTTGATTGGAAGTTTCCCATGATGGTTTAAAATCCTACTGGGATCAGTGAGATTTTCTTATTGCAATTTTATATGTTCAAAACTATAAATAGTTTTTGTACTGTGTTCTGTGAGTCATTTAAGGAGGAGATGCACATTTTAGATTCAGACTTCCTACTGTTTATTCGAAAGCTGCAACCTTAAAGGTGGTTCACATGAATTGCAGCCATATGGAGAACAAACAGAGCTGCTCTAAGGTCTCAAGTTATAGGGTTTGGTTTGTTATTGGGACTGGGAACTCTAAACTATTAGTTTGTATTTTTTAAATTCAACAAAATAGAGAAACAGTTGCAAGATCAGTCCCGTCTATGAAGCAGATTAAATTATTTATATAAAAAGCCATCCGGGTGTTGCCACACTATTAAGATTTGTTCCAAGTTCTGCAAAGCCACCAAACTGCTCTTGTTCCTCTTTTGACCTGTTTGTGAGAAGAGAGACAGATGATGTTAACCATCGCCCAATCTCCCGGGGGGCAAGTAGTTTTTATTTTTGGGAGAGTACAAATTTCATTGCATTTGCCTGCCGGGCAAGCGCAATGATCGCAAGACAAAATTATTTATCACTCAAATTTACTTTAAAATCAATGACATTTGATGGAAAACGACCCAGAGCATTGCCGGTGCCATTTTTGTTGTTTTGTACACATTCTCGTGTGATTTAAAAAAGGCACCTGATTTGAAAAAGCCGGGTGATTATCCGCCAGATGGCGGAACATTTAAAAAACATTCAAAAAACAAACATGTTTCATTGATATATACACAAAAATGAATATTATGAACTGTATATTTCAAACATTATACTGGGTAAGTAAAAATTGTGTTGGGCAAATGAAATGTGAAAGTCACTTGCCCCAAGGGCAAGTGGTAAAAATCCTTAACGTCAACCCCTGACAGATAATTCAACTCAAACCCTTTGAGGTTATCAGTAACATATTCATCTGCTGCCTTAAACTTTGTCTTAAGGTTTCACATCTGAAACAGCATTTGCATGCACTTTCAGTTTTTTGACTCCACCTGTTTGTATCTAAGCTTTTATAGTTTCATGGTGTTGCTGTTGGCTGAAAATGGAACCTTCATGCTTTATTGAACGGTTTTGGTTATGTTTCAGAAGTACTGGTTTTACAAGTTCTGAAATGCAAATGAAGGAACAGATTTGATCACCTTTTTTTCTGCTTCATCATCTGCCGATGTTTTTATCCCTGCTTTGCTAATGTGCTGAATATCTTGTCTCCTCTGCAGATGCCTGTCTGTTCAAGTGCGAGAGCATGGAGGAAGGAGAGGACGGAGACTTCGGTCAGGGGCTGAATTATGAACCTTCGGTACGGACATGAAAATCCATCTTTGCCTCACGGCTTTTCAGTTTCACCAAATTTTGAAATTGTGTCTCTTAGCCTATTTTCTAGTGGTACTGAGAGAGTATTTCCACAAAGTGGAACTGTGGCATTGGGTCTGACCCTTTTCTACACTTGTGTGACCCAAACCAGGTCAGGGTCTAGCAGACTGCATCCCACAATATCCTGTGTTGTTTTAACCACCCGTGCAAAGTTTTTTCTCATGTGCCTTGCAGCACTGATACCAAACTTATGCTGAGACACAGGATGCTTTAAGAAGTGACAATCATGTGCATAGTAGTAATATGTCTCAGCTCAAGTGGCTCATTAAAATCCTGCAGGAAGTTGTTATGTTGCCATTTATTCCCCTTTTACTCTGGTTTTACTGGTTGAAGGTGTTGGAGGAATAAATTGTCATGAAGTCTGTTTCTTTTACCAGTGCTGCTCTGCTTCCTGCTTAAATGTGCAGCATTAACAGCTTGATCTTTGTTGAGTGGGACGTGGTTCTAAATGTAGAACAGTGTCTTAGAAGTCAAATAAACCACAGAGAGTAGAGGAAATGGTTAACTGGTGGTTTAGATACAATCTATTCTCAGTTTGCTCATGCAGTTTGCATAGTGACTGGTATTACGTCTTACCAGGGTACAAGCAGGACTGAAAGCAGTTTTACATTTATTGCAGGGATTTTCTAAAATAAAATGAATTGGCCGTTGTTGTTTTTTTTTTTCTTTTTACACCCTTTATGCATTTTAAGATATTGTTTTAGATATAAAGACCATTATAACCTATAAATGTAAGCTAAATTACACTTTGTATTTTAGATTTTAAGCTTCGTTTTAAATAATATCAAAATTAATATTTAGGGCTGACTAATATCTGAGAATAAATTAAGAATGTCACAATTTTTTCACACCTTTTCCTTAATGGGAACACCCAAACAACTCTTAATTTAAAGAAAGATATGAAAACATTAAGCAGTTGTTCTCTGGAATAACAAGTTAACTTATGTTTCTAAGTTTCACCCATGACATCCACTTTCCTTTTTTTTTTAAAATCCCCTAATAAATGAATGATAATTCAATTTACAGAGAACCTCTGAACTGCATTATAACAACATGGCAATCCAAATCTTGACTAAGATGTTAAAATATTCAAAGGAAGTGCTGGAAAGTATTATTTTTTTTGATAATGCAAAGAAATATTGACATCCTAATTTAACAGCGATGAGGAATTATGAAAGACAGAGGTCTAAGTGTCTTTTTCCTATTGGCCTTTTGTCTTAAAATAAAGAGTAAAGTTATCAAATATTTGATGTAGATAATCTCCTCTAACCGGTCCTCATGCCCCAGTGGAGCCAGAGCCTGATGATTCAAGAGAAAGTGATTCCATCACTGATAGAGATGGTCGACCTAAACAGCTCTCTGGTGGCAGGCGATGGAGGAAATAATCTCTTCACTGTCACATGGAAGGCTGATACAACACTGCTGGAGTTGGAGACTGTGGTCCCAGTTATTAAAAAGCTTTCAAAAAAAGCTAATCAAGTGATCACACATCTTGGCCTCTCTGGGAAAGTTAACTCTGAGGGTTTGGAGAGGAAACTTCTTAGCTGGCCTTCAATCCAGGAGGGACTTTGTATCTTTCCTTCTGGCCGCAGTGGTGAGACCTATATCTCTACTCTCAATGATTCTCTGAGGGGGGTTCATGGCAGCATGCTTGTCCAGTCTACATGTTTGTTTTATTTTTGTGTATCTGGAGAAGGCCCACATGTCTGCTGAAGTATTTAAGTTAGGTTGCTGCAGCATTATGGGTATCTGTTTGGCTATTGGGCCATCGGATCCTTGTTCTCAACAAGGAGAACCATGTCATGAATTTTTTTGACACAAAGTCAGACCTGTTCCCGGTGTGGCTTGGACATTTGTCATTAATACTGGTTGTAGTTTTCTGAACAGGATTTTCCTTTGAGAGCCTCTCTTCGAGGTTTCCTGGGCAATTGGAGGAGATTCTTTGAAAGACCCAGAACTTGCTGGAGGCACCATATGTCTTGTCTTGCCTGAAAATGCGTCGGGATCCCCAAATATTGCGGCAGGATTTACCTGGGGAGATTGCTGCCTGGGCTTTCCTCTTGGAGCTGTTGCTTCCTCAATCCAATCCTAAATAAATGGTAGACAATAGATTGTTTAAATCTCCAAGAATCTATTAAAATAAAGATACAGAACCCATCTCTTTGTACCACTCGCTGTGAGTTCTGCATCTAAATTTGAAACCCATCTAGTTTTTAGTTTTCTCAAACCTGCCCCAGGTTTTTCACAAGTTGAAAGCAATATGAATTAATTTGAAGCCGCCTACACGGATGAAGGGTCCGGGTGCAGAGGGGGCATGTTGTTTGTTTTTTATGGCTGAGTAAAACTCACACTCATCAAAACTAACCCTGCAGTTTGGTCTCCTTTTCTCCTGACTTCTTCTGTTTTGCATCCCTCCCTCTCTCTGTCTCTCTGCCAACTCCTCACAGTTTGACAATGACCTTGTGCTCACCCTCGATCCTGACAACCGCACGTCGCCATGGCGATACCTTGACGACAACCTTCTCACAGGTACACACCATCCGACCGATTATGGCTCTCAGGACGGAGCCCTCCTATCGCATCAGTTAGCATTTTAGTTTCACGCTTCAAATGTCCCTGAAACTTGAGACGCTTCACTCTCATTGGTCCAGCCTGTGGAAAGTTCCAGCTACTAGACGCAGAGTCCCTCTGTTTACCTCTGCAGGTGCTCTAATTCACATCCTGTGGGCTGAATCGTTATGCCAGGTTGCTGAGAATTACCAACCCGGAAAAGGAAAATATGTTTTTTTTTAGTAACACTGCCTTTCCTATGTTGAATTTATGCTAACAAAGCATTCAGTTTAACAGAGATGAAGCTTTTCTCTACTTTTTATATTGTTATATTATTCTTTTATGTCCCAAAATTATTCAGCTGAAATGGCTGATGTCTTTATATTAATTTTTAAGCTCACAAAACAAAGTTTCTCTATTTGTTTATTTATTTATTTTTTCTTGAAGCCAAAATATCTTAAATGTCTAAATCCTGTATGTACGATTGATCTGCTTCCGTCTACCTGAGCATCTTATCTACATGGATGATAAATCCTTCACCCACTGCACATCCAGCATAGCTGCTTAGTAGAGTATCATTTTTTAGAAACACTGTATTCATTCTCCATATGCAAATATACATAATAATAATATATTTAGGAAGTTGAATTAAATTTCATGGGAACTGATGCTCACAGAGGAAATAGATTCATTGATTGGATGCCACATCTCATGGACCAGAGGAAACAATGTGATCATTGAAATAAAAGGTTTAGGGAATATATATTTCATCTACCATCAGTGTTGATATTACAGTGATGGTGCAATTTGATGAATCCTGTTTTCCTTTTTTATGATGCAGCTTTATTCTTGTATATTATTATTAAATGTCAGTAAAAACAGCAACAAACAAAAAAATATTGTGTACAGTCTTCAGTGTCAACATTATATAACAGCAGTGGGTAAAAGATTGACACAGGGGTTCGTTCGATTACATGTAGTTATTAGCTATGATAGCATAGAAACATTTCATGATCGGACTAAAAAGTTTTTGGGATAAAAATAAAATAAATTGGATCTTACTGTTTATATGGATACAAGATTGGATTAGGAATATTTCATGTAAATGTGGCAATCAGAATATTCTGGTGATGGATAGCCAGAGGTACTCAAAATGACACATTGACGCACATGCACACTCAGGCCAGTGCAAAATAACTCAATTCTGACCGTTTGCATGCATGCTGAATGGATGATCAATTGCTCAAATCGCTCCTCAGATAGATTTCAATTACATTTCCTTTTTGCTGAATCAATTCTGAATATTCTCACTGACATATTTTTAGTTTGATCTGTTTATTTAGATTACTAATGTCCATATAAACGTGGCTATTAATGTTACAGCAATCACTGAAACGCCTTTTGTACCAGTGTATCAGTTTTGCCTCTTTATCCTCAATGGCCTTTAATTACCTTTATGTAGTAAAATATTATTTTAGCTGACATGTTTACATGGCCCGTTTTTTAAACAAAAGCAGTGTTTTAATTTGCTGCAAGTATTTCTTTATTATGCTAATAATTTTTCAGTCATGATGCAGTTTGTTATAACAGCCACTTCAATCTTTGCTTTTCTGTCTGTGTTTCCGTTCTCTACAGGAAATACCACAGTGATGAAAAATGAGATGGCACTAACCGAGCCTCTACCTGTGGAAATGTGTAAGTTGTATTTTTATTTTCTAATCTATCCTATCCACTAAAAGTGCTTTTTACCAGGTACTTAGTGATTGTGTTTATATCCAGTGTTCCAGGTCAAGGCCGAGCCTCCCTCTCCTGCTTCCTCGCTGGAGTCTGAGTGTTCGACCTTGTCACCCGATCCAAAGGTGGGCTTTTTCTAATTGTTTTGGAAGCAGTTTCATTGCACAAAACAGACTGACTAATAATGAGAATGCCGTTTATTGCCTCTTAAAAAACAACTTATAAACAACCATAGGATGTTTCTTTAAATGGCTGTATGAATCAGCAGAGTAGAGATCAGAGCATCGAGCTGCTGTCTCATCGTCTCATCTTCTTTCAGGTTACAATTAAAGCTGAAAACCCTCCTACTCCTCCCTACATGTACGGAGATGTTCTGTCTCCACCGCTTGGGACAATGGAGGTAACCGTGGCAACGGCAGCAGTACCCCCGTCGCAGTCCCAGGTGCCCACAGTTACACAGACACAGCTGCAGACACCGTTAACATCCGTCCCAGCAGTCATCACTGGAATCCAGACACAGACTGCAGGTATGCAATAACTTTTAAACTATACAGACTCTTCAAAGAAAAACGACACCATAGTATCTGTGAGGCACCACAAAAGGATTACGTTACCATCACACACCTTTTGTGCATGCAAATCGAAAACCAGGATACTCCCTTACGTTTTAGTTGTTGGCATTTATGCTCTTGGTCTGCAGCAGGTTTTTTTTTCTCTGAGCATATCAGGTTTGAGCTGTTGGTGCTAAAGCCTGAATGAGGAGCTTAGTTTGCCTTTCATTCTGTATTCTAATCCTCACCTGTGGAGGTTTTCTGTACACAGACCCTGGGGTAGCCCAAACACAGTGGTGGGAATACTGTATAGGTGTGGGAATCCCTCTGTAGATGGAGGGTCTTTAGCGGGCTGTAACCTAATACTGACTGCATAAAGAGATTAGTTTTGAGTGGAACTTTTCTCACTTTTCTACCCAGGGGCCTTCAAAGATGTGCAGCACATCAGCCTATAAGTTGTTGGAGACCACATTTGATTGTTTTTATTTATTATACACACATTAAACTTGCATATAAATGCATCTAAATTAACAAATTTTACAGAAACTATTGAATATAGAGACTTCAGCACAGTTTGAATTTGTTTACCTGGATTTCTCTATTCTCATATTGCATTGAATACTAATTTATTTTCTTTAATCTATCTGTGAAGGATCTCTATATTATCATAAGGCTTCACCCATCCAGCCTTTCTGTTAATTAAGATGAGTAGGGCTGCAACAACGAATCGATAAAATCGATAAAAATCGACTTTTAAAAGCGTTGGCAACGAATTTCATCATCGATTAGTTGTGTCGCGCGATTATTGCGTCATCCGCCGCGCCGTCATCACTGCCTCTTGACTAAAAGAGGAAGAAAAAAAAAAAAAGGCAGAGCGAGTCAGCGCCGCAGGTGCAGTGTTGCCAACTCAGCGACTTTTCAGACCCCTCCAGCGACTATTTTTCAAAAAAGCGACTAGCGACAAATCTGGTGACTTTTTACGGTGTCACTGGCGGCTTTTGGAGACTCTTACGTGAAAGCATGTATCGTTCCTACTCTGCCGTGGGGCGCCTCCCCCACCCCAACCGCGTTTTCCCGCAGGAGTCCCTCTCAGCGCTGCAGTCAGCCTCAGCGTCCAGACTGCAAATGAAGCGCGCATGCACCGGGATTGACGGCGCAAATTGATCACAATAATTAAAATAGCCTGCGCTTTGTAAAGCGAAAAAAGTGATAACATGCAACTTTTTTCAAAAGAAATGAACATGGCACGGAAGCACCATGTTTGTTTGGTTTTAAAGTGGGGAAACGTAACGTTAGTTTCTCAGGTAGCTCATCTGATGCTTTCCTTACCGTGTTAGTAGGTTACAGACAGTGATAAGGTTGGCTACTTATTTTACCTTTAATTTCATTTGAATTAGCTTAAGCAGCGTTTATATTTTCTTTATAAATAAATTAACTTGCAAATTATGAGGGCAAGGCTTTTAAAGTTTAAATCTTCTGGCAAAGTTAAAGTAAAGAAGATCCTGCAATTTATGGAAGTAAAGCAGAATAAAATCCAGCAAGATCAGTAATATGTCAATTAATTATCTGCCACATTCCCATGTAAATATCTGTCTTTGGAGGATGTGTTTTTTAGCACCCCTAGTTCTCTCATTTTTATTCCAAATACAATTTATAATTTGAATCACAGGGCTATTTTTATCTCTATGATTCAGTATTTTCTCAAGCAGCAACTTTAACTGCTATACTTTCCTGTCTTAAAAGGCAGAACTCTTCTAGTCTAAAAAAACTAATTTGTTGAAATGGGGGGGCCTATTGTTTGAACCCCTTAGGGGCTTTTAAAAACAAAAATGTCTTTTTTTGCGCTTTATGAAACAAAGTACCCTATATTTTGTGGATGTACAGCTACATTTCTCATGTAAGTTTGCGTAGTTTTAACACAAACATTTATTTTTCATATTGCACCAGTACAGTTAATGAGCAACCTGTACTTGTGTGCTTGTTTGCTCTGTCTAAAATGTTTATTTTGGAATAAAGAGGTTAATATAAAAAATATTTTTTGTCCGATTCATCGATTAATCGAAAAAATAATCGTCCGATTCATCGATTTTTAAAATAATCGTTAGTTGCAGCCCTAAAGATGAGCATTAATTAGTCATCTGTATATTTGTGAATTAGATATTTTTTAAGGGTTTTATTTAGTTTTAATTAGATAAAATCATAGAAAATTCTTTAGCATTATAAAAAGTTAATATATCAAAAAGCTTTTTCCATTATAGCTTTATTCTTAGTGTGCAACCAGCTTTGAGGAGACACTTGTTTTCTTTTCTCTGCATAATCTAGTTTGCTTGATTTGTAAAGTTAGCACTTGCTTGAATTTTATTTCTTATTATATATTTTTTTTTATCTTTGGTGTAATAAAGCTGTTACATTTTGAACGATGCTTAGTACATTTTTGATTAGTAAAAAGAAATATGATATTAATTTCCTAAATTTTATTACTAAATACTGCTTATTAAGGATATTTTATAATATTAAATTTTAAAAAGGTCTAATACATCGATAAGCTTCTCTGCTGTTTCAGTTCTTTGCGCTACCTGAGCTGCATGTTTAAGATGTTTTCTTGCTTGTACTTAAAAGTAGGGCCAGAAAGGCAGAAGTTCTTTCTGAAATATAATCTAAAACTTTTTTTTTTCAGTCCTGCCAAACACTGCAACAATAAAAGCCAGCACCATCCTTAGCACCAAACCTCCCATCCAGCCCAGACCTCTGTGTGTCGCCACGCTTCCCGTCCCCCAGAACCCCCCACCAGCAAAGACCCTCATACTGCAGGGGCTCCCTTCCATGGATCAGACCCGACCTGGTAGGATGATGTTATCCTCATATTTATTTTTATTTCTTTACTTTCTATTTTGTTAAAGAATAAACATCTTTACTGTTCCAAACTACCAAACTCTGACCTACTATTGAAACCATGTTTAATGTAAAGTACAGGACAAATATCTTTGGAACACTAATTTTCATGTTTTTGTCTTTTTAAATTCAGTTAAATTAGCTTTTCTCTGCTCATTAACCTATTTTTCCCCCTCCAGTCGTCCTCTCTCCGTCTGTCTGCCTGAGTTCGACTCCGGCCATCGTCAAAATGGAGCCCGTGTCTCCGAGCATCCCCCAGCACTGCTCGAGTCCGACTGCCTCCTCAACCAGCAAACCCATCGTCCCGGCAACAACACCGTTACCCAGCAACAACCCCAACGATATTGATGTAAGTAGGAGGATGCAATGACTCATAATGTTTACTGAAACAAAACCTGCTGGGTTTGAGTCTCATTTTCAATATTTTTCTGTTCTGTCATTCAGTGCGCCAAACATCAACACCAGAGGAGTTCATAAACATCCTTATATTTATAGACGCTACTTAACTTTTTGCTTGGGATCCAAATAAATGCAAACATTATTGTTTAATTATAAACTCTATATGATCAAGGTTTTCATTCCTCCTGCTGCTGAATTGATCTCTTCCCCTTTTTTTTATTAACTCCCAAATCCCTTTTTCTCCCTTTATCTTCCTCTCTGTGCAGATGAAGGTGCTAAAGCGGCAGCAGAGGATGATCAAGAACAGGGAGTCTGCCTGCCAGTCGAGAAAGAAAAAGAAGGAATATCTGCAGAACTTGGAGGCTCAGCTGAGGGAGGCCCAGCAGGAGAACGAACGACTCCGCAGGGAGAACCAGGCGCTGAGGGAGAGGCTGGCAGTAAAGGAGGTGAGTGGAGACAAAAGAAATATGCAATCAGAGGGGAAAAGTAGATGGAGACGGATAAGAGAAAAGGTAGAATATTGTGGAAAAGATCCATTCAAAGAAAATGGTTTCTTTTTAATTAAAATTAGATTTGAAACATTTTTCTTTTTAAGTGAAGGTAAAAAGGGATCCAACGCCAATTTTGAGTTGAATAAATAAATAAATGGTTGAATAAACTAACAAACACACCACAGAATATAACTTGAGGATTGAAAGAACTGCAGCTTAGTTTAAAATGTCTTCCTTTTATCTAAACGAGGAAAGCAATTTTCTGTTTACTTTGCGGGAGCTGGACCTGCACAGCTGAGGGAGAGGAAGATGTCTGTGATAAACGAAGAAACCTGAATGACAGGACCAGGACACCGAGTTAAAAAAACACACAAAAAAAGCCAACTGTCAAATCATTTAAACCTGTTGAGCCTGTTAATTAAAGGAGTTATGTGCAAACAGCAAACATTTTCATATTTCTTTTATATTTCAGAATGGCGACTCTGCAAGCAACAAGCGAGCTGTGTGTGTCATGGTGGTTCTGCTGTTCATGACCTTCAGCTTTGGTCCTGTCAGGTATTCCTTCATGGTTCTGCTTAGCATTCATGTTTGTCCTTACAGATGTCTTTATTTTTTATTGGATTCTCTTTGTTTTTATTCATCAGTTTTACAAAAAAAAAATCATTATCCTAATTAAATTTTTTTAGCTATTAAAGGTATTGATTTGAACTGCTTTGCCGTTTGTCTGCAGCATCACAGACAGGAAGCTGTCGACGGGTCTGCAGGAAGATCTGGTGTCGTATACGGGCCGCCGGCTGCTGGAGATCGAGCAGCAGCAGCAACAGGCGGCTGTAGCTCAGCCTCTCACAAAGGATGAGGACAAGTTGGAGAAACAAGAGTCTGAAGGAGACGAGCAGTGGAAGAGAGGAGAGGCAGAGCGATACGCTCCAGATTCTTATCAATTCCGGTGAGGCAAACACACGCTGATAAATTAGTCTGTAACCACAGGAAATACGACAGTAAACTACAGCGATTGATTACTAAATTAGTTGAGAGTTCTCTTATTTAATCTGATTGTATCAGTTCACAAAATAAAGATGTTTAAGTTGAAAAGTTTGAAGGACCTAGCACATTTTGCTAAATAATGAAAATTGTATTTTTCAGTCCTTCAAGTTCTGTAATCGAAGCAATTTCTTATGTATGTTAGTACTCTAGTCCTTTTATCAAGCCGCAGTTAAATGCTGGGAGGTGGTTTTAAGTTTGGTGTCAATGTTCTCATTACATGCTTTGAGTGTTTTTTGTAGATCATAGCTTTCCAGAATTGTTAGCAGCACATTCTTTAGTCAGTATAGCCAGTAAAGCTGGTTATCCATAATATCCATCACTTCTTGCACAGGGAGCAAAGTGTTCCTCAGCTAAAGTTTTACAGGCTAAATTTGAGGAAACCTCATTTAAAAAAAGATCAAACATTTGAAAACAAAGAGGGCTATTTATCTTGTAACTAACAGAGTTTTTCTTACTGTTGTCTTTTGTTGTGGGGCAGAAACCTGAGTGACATGTTCAGTGACATGAAGGACCTGGTCCTGCCTGACATAGAGCGATACTTCACTTCTTCAGACTGCCGACAGTTCAACCGCTCCGAGTCTCTCAGGTCGGTCCTGCTCTGGATCAAATGTCTATCATCATCATATTCTTCTACACCTCTCCAAGAAAGATCTATAAACTTATGTCCAAACCCTTCGAAATATGGAGACATGATCACAGTTAAATGTAGAGAGATGAATTACTCCTCAGCAGCGGTTTCTAATTATGTTGCTGCTTAGAATAGGGATAAGCTGTAGTCTGTTGGGGTTTTATATACCGGTAGCTTAGTTCATATTAAACAGTCCTTAATGAGATAGGCAGCCACTCTACTTTTTTCTATTCCTCATATGATGTCAATAAAATAAGCAAGAAATCTTTTATACAGAAACTGTCTAATAAATATCTTAAAATGGAGTAAGGCTAGTTTCATTGCGGTTACAAACCATTAAGCAAATTAAACTGAAGGATATCTGTCATTCCAGGCTTGCAGATGAGCTGAGAGGTTGGGTTCATCGGCATCAGATCGACCGGAAGAAGTCTGGAGGAAAACCAAAGACAGTGAAAAAAGCAAAGATCACTCAGGTGAGAAATGTCCATAAATCTGATTTTTTTTTTAATGTATCTGTTTCAAAACTTTATTTAACCACTTTATAAAAAAAAAAAAAAGACTGAATTAAATATCTAGAGCAAAGACAAAAACATACTTTTGGTTGTCAAACATTTTACAAGAAACACAGAAGAGACTTAAAATATAAAAACATGAAAGCTAAAGCAGAAAGATTTAAAAGATTAAAATTTTGCAGAAATACCTGCAAACAGATATAGATGCTTTCTGTTTTAAATATTATTTTACTCTTAAGATAATACATAGAGGCATTGCAAGATATATTACTACACTTTAACAGGGTTTGTTTATAAAGTTTTTTTTATTTCTTACTTCAGTCTGATACCTTTTTTAAATATATATATATATATTTTATGTTAATCTGATTGTTTTGTCTTTCTTTTCAAACAGAAAGCTCAGCTAAGAAAGGCAAACATCTCCAGATATCTGCCAATCCAGGCTCACCGCTCTATAGAAAGGTACAATAAAATGCTATTTAATATGATGTAGTTTTTTTTTACTTTATAAACTTAAATACTACTTTGGAAGATCAAGTTTTGCAAATATTAATCTTGAGTATTTTTTATTCAGTTAAGCTGTTGGCTTAATCTCAGCCTTCAAGTCAGTATGGTCTCTTTTGTCTTGGTAAGGCTCTGAAAATCATTTTCTGATGAGTAAAAATCAGAGATGTTTTTCTATTCTGAGACTAGAAACCAGATATCTTCTAAACTTGACGAATGGTGCCTGATTTTATTGTTGGGCTGTGAGTTTAGTAAAAATGGTTATAGATGTATTTAGAAAAAAAGTTTTTTTTTCTGGAGTTACGCAGAATTAGTCTCTGAAAAGTAACAATGTTAAAGTTTCTAACATGTCAGACAAACATGTTATGTTGTTTTCTTAAAGTCCTAATTGGTGAACAGATTTTTCAGAGTTTAATTTTTCTGATCTCGTTTGGTTCCTCTGCAGTCAGCTGAGGGTTCTTCCCGGTCCAGAGGTTACTTACAGCGACTTCCTGGACGCCATCGACCGCAGAGAGGACACCTTTTACGTTGTGTCTTTCAGGAGGGTAAGAAAATATTTCAGCAACAAATTGAGTTTTTATTTTAAATGCCAAATAATAACCAATGAAAATGTTTCCTTTTTACAGGACCACCTGTTACTTCCTGCCATCAGCCACAACAAAACCACCCGGCCTAAAATGTCTCTGGTGATGCCGGCCATGTCCGTTAACGGTGAGAACGTCTCAAACATCTGAAGAACCATAAGTGATGCCATTTCTGTCCTCATTGATTAACTTTTTGCTCTCATCCTCCTCAGAGAGTCTCTACAACTCGTCTCAGGGCTACGAGATGATGATGCAGGTGGACTGCGAAGTCATGGACACTCGCATCATCCCAATCAAGTCCTCCGCCGTCCCTCCATCTCTCCGTGACCCCACCCCGCCACCTCCCTCCTCCCCGCATGGCCCCCACCATCACCATGGCAACAACACCTCACTCAGAGGGCGCCACCAGCACCACCCGTCCTCTTCCCCATCTCCCAGGCAGCCTCTACCCGCCCGAACACAAACCCCAGAATACTTGATCAGCCAATCAGAAGGAGTCTGAACAGACATCAACATGATGATGATGATGATGATGATGGTGGGAGAGGTGTAAGGTTGGTGGCTCAGATGAAGAATAAAAGGAAACTTTAGTTTGAGATTCTTTTTTGAATCTCTTCACTGAACAAGAAACGTTTCAGAGACGGTTAAAATCCAACAAAGCTGCTATTAAAATCTGAACGTTTGTCTGTATTCCAACAGTTACTGGTACTGAAAGGACTGGGAAAAGACTAAGTTGGATTCATTCGTCATATTTACCAATACCTAAAAATAAGAAACAAAGAGAGCAGCACTGGCACATGAAAAGGAATCGGTTCTGATCCGTTCCAGGGTTCCTCAGAGACATTTCTATAATCTTCCCTTCAAAGTTGAATCACTTTTCCCTGTTGGCATACCACAGAAAACAGAGCATCTCTGTTTAGAGAGGCAGGCTTCCAGAAGAAATTATGGCATCAATGTTGATTGAGATGATGGAAATTGTTTTTTTTTGGAGCAGTCAGGATTAAAAACTTTGATTTTGGAGCTTAAGGCAATGAAGTGAACCTAATCCGAATAAAAGAAGACATGATACACTTATTTATGTACTTATTGATTGATAAAAGTACATAAATCAAATTTTCTTTTATTCAAAAGCTAAAAAAAGTAACTACTCATATCTTCCCTTCACGTTTTGATGTAAATATAATCCATTTTAAAATGTCTAGGCGGCTGCATGTCTGAGGGTCTGAATGGGTTAAATAACTTTAAGAAAAGATTCAAGATGTTTTTTCTTTCTTGTTTTTAATGTTAAATGGAATGAGATGAAGTTCCTCTGATCTTTTTTGCAGCAAACACACACTTTAGGAATGCAGGCTGAGTTTTAGCCCAGATATCGGATCAAATGAATTTAAAAATGGCGCCACAGCAGTTTGAATATTTCAAGAGCCAACGGATTTGCTTCAGTCTTTATTTTTGCCAATTCTTTTTTTCGTTAAAATATATTTCTACATCTTGAAATGTAAAAACTTAATTCAAAAGATTAGAAAATGCAGCTGAAGGTTGTTTTTTTTTTATATTAATTTGCTAATTTATATATAAATATATTTTCTGGGGAGGTTGGGTTAAACTAATTTTGGAACTCGACGTCCCAGTTTCGTACATTAGCTGTCACTTTTAATCATGTATGGTTTTTTTTATGTTATTTAATATCTGTAAATATGATTGTAGATATTTTGTTTGTATTTTGTCACATTTTCAATTTTTTATATTTCTCTTTTCACAGCAAAAAGTAAAAAAAAGAAAAAACCTGTGAAGTTTTTCTTGTGATGAAATATACTCTTTTATATTAACGAGTTCTGTCCAGTGAGGACCAACCAGCTTCTTTCTCTCCAGTGTTAACTGCACTGATGTTATACGCATATTCTTTATGATTGTACATAGGAATAATAAAATTGGGCTTGTTTTATTTCTTAAAGAAAAGGTAACGAAAAGCTGATTAGAGCCTGGAAGAAAGATAATATTCAAGCAGTTTATGACCTGGGACTTTAACACAGAACTTCTGACTCTCTTAATGACTTTATTTAAAGTCTACATAGAAAATTTCATTGTGTTTTTTTCTTTTTCTGGCAATAAAATATTCGACTATTGCGTCACTCCATAACGTCATCAGTTAAACTGTCCGCTCTGCATGATGAAAAATGTTTGCTTGTATACTGCAATTAAAGGGCGTCTCAGTTTGTGAAGCTTTGATGTAAATAGTTTATTGTTGCATATTGGTAATGGGATTTTGAACCTTTGAAAATATTTCGATATTATCCCAGGAACATCATTTTGAATTTTCTCTTTTTTTAAGTTCAGACAAAATGGAATAATTTCCTGAAAAATCGTTTTTCTATTATAATTTTTTTTTCTATATTTCAAAGTTAAACAATAATTTTCTATTGTTGCTTCTAAATGTTTGTAAAGCCTTTAGTTTGCTGATGGTTTCTGGATGAATGTTTGTTCAAATTTGGACTTTACTGTTTTGTCTGCACATATGTCTAAAAGAAAACTGAATGAATCTGTTTTTGTTTTTTATAAATACTGAAACATTTTACATTTGGCATAAATGTATGCCATGAAGAAAAAGAGCTGATATTAAGAAGAAAGGACCTCTTTATTTTTAATGGGTTGGTGTCACAAGAGGAGTCTGGGTTTAAAAGGGTTTGTATGAAGTCCTTTTGAGCAATGATGTCAATAAAACTGGTCCTTCAACTGGTTTATTCTCATTATTTTAACACGCATTGATTCTTTTAATGAATGATAGGTCCTGATCTATCAAGTTTTTATTTTATTTTGCTCAATATTTTATTTTAACTTAAAAGGCAAAAAAGCTATCTTTCATATCCATTTATGAACATTCATAAACCTGAACACCTTTAGGTTACGTTGCTTCGGGAGCCTTTGAAGCAGCTTGTTAATTTCAAATATATAGCCATTTTTTTATACTACACTCTAATAAGCACACAAGAAATCTGACTTGAGAAGCAATTTGAAAAGTCTGTTATTCTTTTATATAGAAGTAAATATAATTTTTTCCCCTGTTCTTTAAGTTTTTTCTTCCTTTATTCATGTTGTTAAACATCTTTTTTCTGTTTATCCAGCCTTAAACTTTTTTTATTTTTTTTATTTTTTTACTTTTGAAAATTAAGTTTATAATTATCTGCTGAAATAGTCTACATCTATTTCTACGTTTAGCATAGAGCCCACTCGTTTATGTCTGATCAGTCAAAAGAAATAAAGCTAATATATATGTAATATATATTGATTGCTGTTTTTTTTTTTTTTTACATTTTAAAGTAATATTTATATAAAACATGTAACAGATGCCTCTAAATTAAAATATTTAAAAGTTTAATTCAGTTACTCAGTTTGAAATATATTTTATAGATTTATTGTACATAAACAAAGTTTTTGTTAAGCCTTTATTTTTATGATTTTACCTGTTTAAGTGTTTTCATTATCAAAAGGTGATTTTAGCTGACAAATAAGCCTACCGTAATTGGAACATTTACTGCTAAGGCACGATTTTCAAAATCCTCAAATTGATCAATATTAACTAATGTTAAATTAAAACTCCAAATCATTTAAAGGTACATACTAAAAAAATAAAAGTCAATGTTTCAAATTAAAATTTGGAAATTTAAATTAACAAAAGGACGTAGCAGTACACAATTCAGCCACAAGATGGCGACCAGAAGACACAGATTGCACCTGAACCTCATTGAGCTGCTGTCAGACAGATGTTGAGCAGCAGCAGCAGAGACTGACTGGGGAAGCATTAATCACAGGTTAACAGGATGACACCAAACACATGACTTTGATTTCAGCCCATAATTATTCACAGCCAGTGGCTGAGGTTGTTTTGTAATGTAAAGTTTATCAAATCAAACATTAGGATTCTCAGCATGCAGAGAACAATCACATATGTTGCACATTGAGGACGTCCTCATGTTACCCTGACGCTCAATCGTTGAACTAAAAGCTGAGTTTCTTTTTTGACCATGCTTCACCTCCCACAGACACACATGCTGACATATATAAAAAATAAAATATAAAAGAAATGTCTGCTCTTCTTCTTTCTTTAAACATGATGTAATTGATGGTGTTTACTTCACTGTCTGGTTTTTACCATTCAGTTTTATTGATGGTTTTCTCCCAGTGAGAGTCGACAGCTATTAAATCTGCAGCTGATGACAGGCGCCTCAGCCACAGACTCTGGACTCCTACTCAGACGACCTTCAGGTCCTTTAACAGCAAACTCATGAAGCCAACAACTGTCACAGTCATGCATCTTTGCAAATCAGACAAAAAAAACAATTCACTTAAACCAAAGTTTGATTTGATAACTGGAATAGCTGGATGTTTGAGTTTGGTGTTAATATGAGATTAGTGACTGTCAAAGCTTGGATGTTGATTTTTATGTTTCAGGAAGCTGTGTTCACTGAGCTGTGTCGATATTAGGGAGTTCAGGTATACAGCATGATTTTGCTTTATTTTAGGGCAAGCACATCTGTTTCTTATGAGGTAACCAGGAAAATTTGCTGCCTTTAAAACAAGACATTCGCTAAGTGGTTGTTCGTAAACCCTTAATGTGTCTGTAATTACCTGCTTGTTAAAATGATAAACAGTAAAGTCCAATTAAAGGAGTTTATAGAGACTTTATAGGCTGTGTGAGCTGGCAGGGTTACTGATGGTGCAGCAGTGTTCTGTGTGTGATAATTGTCATGATTTAGTCATTTGCATAGTCTAATTTCAGCCTGTAAAAATGTGTTCCAGGTAAAACTTTTACTTAAATCTTGTCCCCATTCATCAGGAGTTAACAGGTTTGTATAAAGTGATGCCCTTGTGTCCCTGCTGTGCAACAAAAGCTTTCATTTGGTCTGTATTTTGGACTCTTATCCATCGATAATGCTGAAATTGTCAGTACGAAACTGCTATATATATATGCAGATGTATCACATTAAAGAGAAATTTTCACTTTCGTCACCTCTTAAACAAAAAATTTATAAAATAGGTGCGGGCTGAGCTTTATAAGATCATTAGTTTGCTGCACAAAAAGGTACATTTATGGAAACCAATAACGGCACATTTACTGGTTCACACCTGAAATTACAACCCACTGAGAAAACCATAGTCTTTCCTATAATTTTAGTAATTCAGAAATTTAAAGTCAATAAAATAGTTAAATGGATCTTCTGTGACCAATAAGGACATTTTTAGCAAGAATCTAAGAGATCTTGAAATGCCTCGGAAAAGTTCGGACACCCTGCCACTTTGCAATTAGTCTGAAATCATGTCGGAGACACAATAAGCCAGTAGAAGATGGCTCTTAGATCAGAGGAGAACCAAAATGAACTTTTCAGCCTATATGCAAAATGCAGCTTGAGGCAGAAAACCAAAACATGACGTCCCATAAACACAATGGGCTGGAAAAAATGTGTCAGAGGCTGCAAAGCTTAGGCAGTTAGGGGCCAATAGGGGCCCTTGCCCCTGCAGAACTGGTGCCACTGCCTGTACTGAAGAATATAGCACTAAATTGAATAGATATTATGACATCCACTCACACAAAAACCAAAACTGATCGGGCCTTTGGACCAATTAAATTTTAGACCTTTAGAGTGATTTTAAAATTAAGATGTTGCACTTTAAGCTTCAACTGTATTGAGATGGGATTACAGTTTTTATGTGTTTCAGGGGTCTGAAACCTGCGGCTGCGGAGGCACAAGTGGCTCTCTTATATATATATATTTAGGCAATAGTGACCTTTTTTGATAATTTTTAAAAACTAGGCAGACAAGAAAAGGGACTGAAGGGGGGCAGTAGTTAATACTCAAACCTGTGACAACAGGAGGACTAAGTCCTCCTTAAATGGGTTGCACGCCTTAAAAATGCACAACCACCACATTTACTCATTTAATATATTACATATTTATCTATGTTCCTATTTTTTGTTATTATTTTGCTTTGTGCTTTAATATAAAAATAGCCTTTAAGGATTACAATAACGCCAAACACACACCCTGAGCTACAATGACTTTATATATGAAGTTCACATAAAGTTATAACGGCCCAGTTTAATACCCAACCTAAATCCAATTAGTATATAAAAATAAAAAAAAATAAAATAAAAAAATACTATTTACTTCTGATTGGACTGAGCTAGAGATATTATGATAAACAAGAAAGGATAGAAAAGCAGCTGTTAACTGTAGTGAAATGACATTCTGTGTAATATTCACTGTTATCAACTTTAGAAGAAACAGTTTTAGTTAGTTTTAATGTTATAATCCACCACCACAATGATACAAATAGGTGAATGTTTGTTGTTCTTATAGATAAAATGAGATTTTATGTAACACAAGAGAAAGTATTTTACCTGAAAATGAATAAAAAAACAACAAGTTTATTCCTCTTTTAGACACCCCTTCTACAGACATAAGTCTTTATGTAGTTTAAAGTTCAGTGAACCAAATTGACAAAAAGGAAAAAGAAGTTAATAAGGTGAAAGTCATGTTACAACAAACATAATGATTTTTGAGTGTAAAGACCCTCTGATACCTCAAGATCAAGCTGCTTGTGCGGCAAACATAAAATTATGATGAGAAGTGTTTAAGAACTAAAGCTTAACTCTGACCTCATGATGGCTTGAAAAGCATTCTGTTCTGCCAGTAGCAACACAGACTGGTTAAAAAACAAACAACAGCTTCACGGAGGTAGTATAACCTTTTCTCTCTCCTTCTGGTTTATCCTCACATGCTCAGATGGATCCACTTTCACTGATGGAAACAACATGGGCCACAGATTTATGGTGAGAATCTAACAGCAATGCTTTTTTTGTGTGTCTAATAATGGATTCATTTTACAAAAGCCGGCAAAGATTGGCCTGGAGTGGATGGAAAGGCCAGGAGATGATCTTCCACTCTGATATTTACGGACTTTCTATGCATTATTTTACAGTTAAATATAATTAGTTTTGTTACGAATAAAAATTATTCCTGTGTAATGAAAAGGCTGCATTGTTTGTGAAGTGGATTATCCCTGAGTACATTGTAGAAGGTCTTCTGGCTCCAGCCTGCTACAGTATGCATACCTAGAACCAGAACTAAACATGGAGAAGCAGCATTTAGTTCCTATGCTCCACTTATCTGGAACAAACTTCCAGAAAACTGTAAAAGTGCGGAAAGCTTGAGTTCCTTTAAATCAAGACTAAAAAACACATTTGTTAAAGATTGCCTTCAACTGTTCTAGTTAAACAGTTCAACTGAATCATCATTAGTTTTAACTGTTTTTAATGTTCTTTTTTGTTTATACATTTTTTATTTACTTTTTTTTCCCCTACTTGCTTTGATTCTGTTTAATTTTCCTATATTTTAATAAAGTAAAGCACTTAGCATTGTCTTTATACTGAATTGTGCTATACAAATAAATTTGCCTTGCCTTTGCCTCAAAATAATTGTATTCACCCTAACATTCAGTAGGGAAATGAAAATCTGCCAATGGAATTAGTATTTTTAAAATTAAAATAAGATAATTAGATATTATGGACTTGAAATATGACAATGCTATTATTTTTTTCTCATTTCAAATTGAGTCTGCTTCATTCAAAAAAAAAATGCACTTATTTTAAGAGACATTTATTTAGATTTCCTTTTTGCTGAGTACATTTTGTAATAATTAAATCTAAATAAGTAATATTTTCTTAAAATAAGTGC